GGGGGGGACACGGGGGGGACACGGGGGGGACACGGGGGGACAGAGGGGGGGACACGGGAAGCCGAGGCCCCGCGCGGGGTCTGCGCAGGCGGGTGCGGAGGGAGCGGGACTGACCTACACGGAGGGGAAGGGAAGGGTTGTGCGAGTCCAACACGCGCCACGAGCCTCTTTGGTGACAGGGTGATGGGGAGGGGAGGGAGGGGGAGGAAGGGGGTCAGCACAGCCCCCCTCGGGTGAGCCTCTGGCTGCGTTGTCTTCCGAGGCCGGGGGCCTCTGCGCCACAGTTCATCTGTCTCCACATGCCACCCCTCAGCAGCCCTCAGAAGCCAAAGGTCTCCTGGGAAGCGTAGACCATGTAGAGGAAGCCATCCTCGTCCTTCTCCTGCTCATAGATCTCCGAGATGGGGGTGGACACGCTGACCATGCTGTGCTGGTTCACCAGCAGGAAGAACGCCTGGGTGGGATTCAGCTGCAAGCGGCGCCTGTGGGGGCAAGGGCAGGAGGGGCAGGGTCAGCCCACCCGGGGCAGGTCCCCTGACAGGCAGTTCCACCTCCCCAGCAACGCTGTTCACTTGGGGCCAGGCCTGCACAGCCAGGACCTCCTCAGGACCTCCTGTCACCACTCAGGACGTGGTATCTGTGAGTCCAGCTAAGCAGCTCGGGGCTCCAAGGCCTCCTGACTCAGGAACTCACAAAGCCCCCTTCTGCAAGTGCTGCTGGCAAGGGCAAAACAGAGGGGACTCTTCCCTCTGAGCTGAAGGATAAAATGAGGGGACTAAAGCCCCCCTCATCAGCTCTTGATTGTCCCTATGAGGGAGTGGTCACAGACCTCCAGCAGGTGCTAAGAACCTGCCCCCCTCAGTCCCCCAACAGTCCGTACCACACACAAGGATGCTGTGGCTGCCAAATCCCCATCCCTGCCCTCAGCAGCTGCCTCTGCCCCACCCTCACCCCAGCACCCCGTGCTGGGTGACCTATGGGTGAGGAGAGGTTCACAGCACACCAGCTGAGGCCACCCCACTCACCGGATTATTTTGACCAATTCACTCATGTTGACGTGGTCTGGGACAAGGAACTTGGTCTTGTCCAGCACTGGCAGCTGTTTCTCCCCTTTGTAACGTTCAATGATGACCTGGGGAGAAAGGCAGGGGTAGAATTAGTCATGTTTACAGTGCCCCCCACGCACTGGCCTCAAGGCCAAACACAAATCCAACACCACTTTCAGACTGACCAAACCCACAGGTTTTGCTGGCTTGAGCTGCAGAACTGAGCTCATGGTGCAGAGTTTTCTTCCCCTTTCCTTCCTGCTGCCATTCAGCATCACTCTGCCTGCTCAGGAGCAGCTGCAGATATTCCTAAACAAGCAGTTTTTAGAAATCCCATTGAAGCCACCCAGGGCATTCCTTCAGCAAGGGGGAGTTTGGATTTCATCAGTCCCACTCCTTGTGTTAACACTCAGACACACTGACTCCAAGAAGGATCAGAAAGCAAGGCCACTCCTCCCATGTGCCACCCCAACTGTGCAGGAGCTTCCCAGGCACTCCTGCACAGAATCACCCCAGGGACAGCCCAGCCTGTCCTCCCCTGTGAGAATTCCTGCCCAGGAAAGCTCTTACCACCCTACATTCTGAAACAGCTGAACAGTGATTGCTCTTCCATTTTCCTGCTATTATAAATAATGATTTTCTTCTGTTAAGCCTTTTGCTGCTTAACAGCTACAACTTCTGTTCCAAACCTGGAAAGGTACCATTTGTAGTCTGAGAATAAGGTGGAAGGCAGTTAAAACAGGTAAATTAATTTAGTAGGTAAAATTAAAATAAGTAAAGAACTTACACAGCTTAATCCGTTCATGCTGCAGAAATGCTCTGATTCTCACATCTCTCAAGTACACAGTTATTTTCTGCACAGAGAGACACTTGGATACTCATCAGCCCATCACCCTCTCCCACTTGAGACTGAACATTATTTTTCTCTATAAGGCAAGGAATTCCCATAATTTATTTTCCAAGGTCCTTTCCAAATTTACAAGTGAAATTTGTACTTCAAACTGCCAATGGCTGCGGGCAGCAGAGGGATGGAGCAGCACGCAGAGAGGAGGATCCCCAGGAGATGGCTCTGCGGAGCCAGAAGGACCAGGGAACATCTGGGAACACCGACTTCCCTTTCCCTTGAGCCTTTGTTGCCACCCCACCCTCTGGCAGCAGCAGCAATGGAACTCCTGCCAGCCTATCCCAAAGCCAGAGCTGACACTCCAGCCGGGACGCTGCGGGGTCACCAGTGAGCTGGGAATGTCTGAGGAGCCCCTCAGGGCTGATCTCAGGGCCCACCAGGATGGGCCAAGCCCCTCTGCAGGCAGTGCCTGGATGAGGGAGCTCTCTCTTGCTGAGAGCTCTGCACCGAAAACCCTCTGCAGAGCCCACCTTGGGGAAGCTCAGCCCAGGGGAACCCAGGGAGCCGAGGGCCAGACAAGCAGCACGTGAAGGTCCCCAGGGAACAGCAGGGACACCTCCTCTGGCCCTTTGCAGGACGGGCCGTGACTAAAGAACTTGAGCCTTACACGGACAAGGCAGTGCTCTGGCTGTGGGGAGAGGAGTGGTCTCGAGGGGCTGGACACTCACACCAGCCACAGGCAGGGATGCTGCTGTGGCCACTGAGAAACACGGAGGCAGCTCTGGGACCTTCAGTTTGCACAAAAGAACAGCTATAGAGCAGCTGTCTGTGCATCCACCTCTACCTGCAGAGGGGGCCCTGCACACCTGGGTGATGCCTCATTTCTCATATGAGCAGGAGCAGATGTCTCTCATTACCAGCCAGTTCCATCCCCCAAAAAAAGCCTCTTGACTAATCCAAAAATGGGCTGGGAAGGATGTCCTGGCTCTTAGAGCAGCAGCTGCCTCGTGCCCTGAGCACACACAGAGCCTCTCATGGAGAACAGCTCCAAGAGTTTCTGTTCCCAGAACACAAGCTGCTATTTGGGTAACCCAGCTATGGGAACAGGTGGCCAATGGACAAAACGTTCTTGTCTTGCTCTGGAGGGAAAAACATGATCAGATGCTAATGTTACATCCCTCTGGCCACAGGGTGTGTGTGCACAGCCATCTTCCATCCCAGATCCTCTTCCAGGAGAGGGGCTTCCTCAGCATGGGACACCTGCTCTTGCACAGGGAACCCATCACAGATCTCTGCAGAAATCACACAAGTGGGCACAGGTGGGAAGTGGAAAGGCTTAGGGCAGAGCCTGGGTCCTGGTCCCACCACAGGAGGGGTTTGGGCAGCATTTATAGACTCAGCCCTTGTTCTGGGGCTGGTCTGGAGAGGTGGAAAGGGATTTTGGTAGGGAATGGGGCCAGATGTGGCAGCCTGACAGAGGCAAAGTCCAACCAGCAGCGAGGCTGAGAATGTGTTCCCAGCAGGCACAGGCACAAACGTGTGTATGAACACACTCCCTGATATCCATGGCCAGGCAGAGGCTGACACAGACACACAGAGCACTCACCCGAGCACAGGCAGCACAAGTCCCACCCTGTGCCACTCCAGCTGTGGGAACAGGGTGCAGGTCCTCTAGTGGGAACAGACACAGTAACCCCTCTCAGTCCAAAAAGTGCTCTCGTGTTGACCCATCAGGAGTTGCATCAGCCCTGGACGCTGAGTCTGCAGCTCCCCAGAACAGCCCTCCAGGAACCCAGAGAAAGTTGTCCCTTGCTCTGAGTCCATAATTCAGGTTTCCAACCACCACTGTTCCAGGACAGGGCAATATCTGGGATCCCTCCACCTGCCATTGCCTTTCTGTGCTCCTCTGTGGGTGCTCAGATGAACCAGAGCCCAAACGCCCCCTCAGCCCTCCCTACCAGCATGAGGGGTGGCCCTGTCCCCTCTGCAGCTGTACAGCCCATGACCAACCAGCCTGGCTGAATTAACCATTGCAGGGCCTTGGGAAATGGTTTGCTCCAGTTACTGCCCAGCACAAACTGTTCTCCAGGGATTTCAGACTCTCTGAGGGTTCAGTGGGCTCCAGAAAGAACCCTGGGGCTGACAGCAGGCAGGGGCAATGGGTGGGCACAGGCCCCATGCCCTCTAACAGGGCAGCAGATGGTATCTAAAACATCTGCTGAGGCTGTGGATGGGGGTCCCAGCGAGAAGGTTGGAAGTTCTCTGCCTGCTCTGACTGCCTGAGCAGGAACCACCCTGTGAGGGGCAGCCAGAGATTCCTTCCCAGCAGAGCTGGGCTCGAGCAGCACCTCAGTGCCAACACAACCACCTCACCTTCTCAGCAAGAGCTGCATGTGCCTGTGGTCAGGACTTTGCACCACGGAAGCACAGCCAGCTCTGGGAAATGTAGGGACAACAAAGGAGCCCCTGACACGAGGTGGACAGGGAACCACTGGGGAGCCCCTGGCTCCTGCCTGTCTCCAAATCACCTGTGCCAGTGAGGTGTCCTGGCATGTGATTTCTCTTCAAACACAAGCAGACAACTCCACGCCTCAGGCAGGGTCCAGGTTGTCTCTGGTGGGCTCAGACAGACACACCACAGCCCTCTCCCCACGCAGACCTCCATGTACATGTGGCACAGCCCCTTCCTCAGTCTCCTCTGGAAGTACACTCATGGAAACAGGAGAGACATGCCCTTCCCTGGGCACACAGCCAGGCCATGCACTCTGCAAATCCTCCTGGCCCCCTGTCAAAGCAAAAGGGACTCACCCAAGGGCCCTGAGTGGAAACTGGAGATGCAGGAGGGCAGCAGGTGCCTTGCTGTGATTCCTGTCAGCACTAAGGGTGTGTGTGACCTGTCCCATCATCAATCTCCCCAACTCCCCCAGGCTGTGGGCTCAAACCCCCCTGCTAATTCCAAGGGCCTCTCCAGGGAAGCCAGTCACTTGGCAAACACAGCTCCTGCCTTTCAGAGATGACCACAACCTTCCCACAGCCAGTTTGCCCACCCTGTGCTGCTCAGACCTACAGCAGTGCCCACACCACGCTCCACCCTGCACAAGGCTCTGATCACTGCCCAGCACTGACACCTGTGCACAGTCACCTGCAGGAATTCTGCCTCGGGAAACAGGAGAGACAGCACCAAACTGCTGTTGGGGTCTAACTGTGGCCAGGCCTTTAGAGACACCAGTGACACGAACATGGCTGGACCCCCCAAGGCCTTCAACAGCCTTCTCACCCCCTGATTCTTTTTAGTGCTCCAGCTAAACGTGTCCTGTGCTCTCCTGCCGTGTCCCTCAGCCCAGGAGAGCAGAGCAGCTGAGGGCTGAGCCGAGCCCCTCGTCCTCTCCCAGTGCTGGCACTCAGGGCACTGAACGAGGGGCAGAGTGGAGAGCTCAGGTCTCTGCCACGGCCAAACCTCTGCACACAGAGCTCCCCTCACAAACACACCAGTGCTGGGTCCTGACGACACAGAAACCTCCTCCTGGGGCACGTGGTGCTGACCCCAGCACAAAGAGCACTCCAGCCATGGGAGCTCTCCCACCACGTCCCAATAAAGCCACCAAACTGTGCCTGTGGATGCAGAGCTCTGGCTCCTTTGGTCCATTCCTCAGGCAACACACATTTGTACAGTCACTTGATATATGCAAGTGACTGCATTTTTTGAACAACTTATTTCTAGCCTGGCCTTACTGCCAGAGCCTGAAGGCACTGCATTTAGCTCTGGCACAGCCCTGGAGATACACAGAGCCAGTCTAATGGCATTGAAAGTGTGTTAAAAGCAGAGGTCAATCAATGTGTTGATGAGCTGGTGTATTGGTACCCAGTGTGCTGCCAGGGGCAGGCCCTGCCCTGCTGAGCTGGCAACACATGGACACCACAGTGATGGTGAGGGAGAAGGAAGAGAAAGAATTCTTTTGGCTGAAAGACACTGTGCTAAAATCAAAGTAAGAGTGAGGCAGGAGTGGACTAGGATGGGTCAGGAGCAGTTTGAGACATTCAGCCTTGAAGGCCAAATACTGAGAGACAGTCTGCAATTTTAAGATAAGGTTGATGTTCATCCAACACTTGGGAGGGAGCTGAACTAGGAATGCATCCTGATTTTTTGGTCATACATGCTATGGTATCGCAAATAGTAACTTTAGCAAGCCCCAATTTCATGGAATCATGGAATCATTTGTGTTGGAAGGGACCTTAAAGGCTGTCTAGTTCCAACCCCCCCCTCTAGGGGCAGGGACACCCTAGGCCAGGTTGCTCCAAGCCCCATCCAGCCTGGCCTTGAAAACTTCCAAAGAATGGGGCATTCCTCTAGGTTCTCCACCTTCTCAGGAAGAGAAGCAAATACTCAGGTAGAATCTCAAAAGCACACTCACAGCCAGAGAGCAACATGGTGCATTAGGTGTGACATGGGCAGGAAGGTCACGGGGTCTCACCTGGGCACATCAACAACAGGTGCTGGGAAAGCACAGAAGGGGGATGAATGATCCTGACAGAGCCTCTGTGTTTTCAACACAGCAAAGATCATCTCACACACCTTTCTCTGGGCAGAGAGAAATCTTTACCAGGTCATCCAGAAGTCAAGAAGCTACTACAACCCAAAAAAAGGACATTTCAGAGTTTTCTCCTGCTGCACTAGCTTGGAAATAGATTTGAGAGCAAATCAGTCCCCTGCCTCTAGGGCAGACACGAGGCTTTAGGGGCAGCCTGCACTTTGCACTGCACAGAACGTGTCTGCTGTGGAGCAGCTGGCACACACAAGGCACTGGAGGCTCATGGAGACCATCCTCTGTTGATTCCAGGGAGCAAAGTTTTGTGAGCCCCATGGAGGCCACCCAGCAGCACAGAGGAGTCCTGAGAACAAAGTCTACCACAGCCCAGTGAGAACAATCACTTACCGGGATTTTGTTTGGATGCTGCTCTCGGATCTGCTGAACTTCTTTACAACGATCCGCTGGAGGGAGAGCAAAGAAACGGGGTTAGAGACACCTGTGTGGGGGAGCTCAGGCAGAGCTGAGGCACCCACCCTGCAAACCACACACTGACACACAGGGACACTGCCCAAGGAATGCAAGGTCTGCTCACCAGGCCTCTTCTGGGCATGGTCAGCCTCCAGTGACCAACCCTTTACTGCTTCCTACTGCCCCAACCAACCCCTCCAGGATGGGAGGCACCGCCCTGCCTGGTAAACCTGGGCAGCACACCTGGAAACCAGCAAAATGAAAGGAGACCATAAGGATAGCAAAACTAACCTAAATCCACCAGCAGCACAGCTTTGGGGTCTGAGCTCGGCAAGTCCAGGCTCTTTGTGTCTCCTGGATGCTCTCCCCAAGGAGATGATTCTCCAGCTGGGGCTGGGTTTTAGCCATTTCCTTCTGCCTGTTGTGCACTTCCAAGCACTGTCTGGCACAGAGCCTGGCTCCACAAGAGATACACCTTGCCAAGAACTCCTTCACTAGCACAGATCTACAGAGCAGCTACAACAGCTGTTGGCCTGACAGAAGGTATTTCTAGACCTGGATACAGGAAGAAAACCTTAAGCAAGGAGATGACCAACGTACTAAAAGACTTCCTGCAGTTGTTCTCACACTTTCTAACCCATTTGCTCCCAGAGTTCATGTTTACTGACACGCACAACAGGCAGCACACAAAGCTTGCACACTCTTCCAGCTTGCAGGAGAATTCTCATGCCCCTCACTGCTTTAGCAGAGGGTTCTCTGCTTTCCACAACCCAAAGCAGCACAAAGAAGCAGTGCCAGAGCCAGGTATAGCTCTGTGTGTGCTCCTCCTGGGACACCACACACCTACACTCCTCCTGGCATTACCTCCTCTGGGAAGTGCTTCACAGCCTCCAGCAGCCCACCTGAAGTGCCCAGGGGAAGCAGTTTTGTAGATCACGGTGGGTGAGCCGGGGGTGAGGGTCAGTGACTAAGCACTGACTGGAAAAGTGAGATCTGGGTATCAGAGGATCCACCATTGGATCATCCTGCCACACACACCAGCTCCAGCCCAACTCCTCTTCCCAGCTTACACAGCCCCCATTCCTCATGACCCACCAGGATCATGGAGGGCAGGATAAGCACCTGTGTTTGAGTGTTTTCTCCCCAGAAACGCCGAGCATTTCTCCTCCGAGCACTCAATAAATCCTTATTGTTTATACATTGAATTTGGCTAGAAGCAACTTTAGGAAGAGACTGGAGTTTCTTTAGAGGCCACGAGGCCACAAAATCACCAAACCACAAATGCTTTTGAGCACCATTTCTGCCTCCTCTGTGGGGAAAATATCCCTCTGCTAGGAATGGCTAGACCTTTTATTCTGTAGGACTCCAAGTCAAGCAACACAGAGAGCAAGATTATTTGGATTTCATGAAATATTCAGGCATATTTGTTCTGGAGTTTATGACTGAAGATGCAGCTCCTCATGGCTCCTTTTCACCCAATCCAATGCACCAGGGATCCAGAGTTATCCTTGTGACACAGACAGTTTTCCCCCGAGGTCCCAGTCAGCAGGGAGTCACAGACATCAGCACCACACGTGATGCTGGTACAGGGACACCTCTTTGGGAATGCTGAAGGACACAGTGACAGCAGCACCCAGCACCCAACCCAGCACCCAGATGGAGCAGAAGCACCTGCCCCTCTCTGCAGTGCCCCCCTCCCACGTGTCCACTGTGGACAGGCTGCAGCAGGATGGAGCATCCCAAAGGCTGGAGATCCAGAGCATGACTAGACAAAACCTACCAGCATAGGAACTTCAGGCACTTTGACTGCAGCCAACTCAGACTTCTGGGTGTTAACAGAGCTGTGTCCTCCTGGCTGGCCAGTTTTCCCAGCTTTAGTATCCACCCTATCCTGCTTCTCTCTGAATCCTGTCAGATGGCCACGTGCATGAACTCCCTAGACCTCATGCTCTGCCCTGCAGGGTCACAGAACTGTTTGCACAAGAAGCCCCAGTGATGCAGGTAATGGTGAGAACGGTCTGAGAAGGAGTTTGTTATCATGGCTAGTAAATGTAGATAATCTCAGAGCATCCAGCTAGCCCAGGATGCACCTGCCAAAGGGCACCCACACACCAGACACCCCTTCCTGCTCCCTGGAAGCACCACCAACTCCAGCACAAGGAGATGGCACAAGCCATCACCACCTTCACTTCCACAGAGGAGACAGAGGTGCCCCCTGCCCATCACACTGATAAAGATGCCACACAGAGAGTAAAATGGTCCATCCTCAATCCAGCTGCACATCAGTGCCTCAGGATCCCACCCCAGCCCTTTGTCCCCTGAGGAGAGCAGACCAGGTGCCTTGGGCAGAGGCTGCTGCTGCAGGATGCTCCTTCCAGATCTTGCTGACTCCACAGCAGGAATCAAGGGCATGAGCCACCAGTGACAGAGCTCTCAGCTACCCTCAAGTCTGCTGGACCGCAGTGGCAGCTCCCTCTCCCACCCTTTAAAACCTGACATGTGCCCAGGGCCTGATCCCTTTGGCCAGCAGGGTCCAGGGCATTTGGAGCCTTCCTGAGCCCAGGGGACTGATCTGCAGGTTACCAACAGTGCAATGACAGCAGGTGCAGCTTTACTCCAGGGGCTGCTGGATCCCTCCAGCAGGTCCATGTGACTGCAACTACAAGCACCTCAAGCCCTGCACTTCCTCTGCCCTGGAAATGCCCATTTCAGAAACTTCATTCGGGAAGGCAGTTGGGAGCAACTCCACCCAAGGTGTTCAGGTGCCTGAACACGCTGGCTGAAGTTTCTGGGACACCTGGAGCTCTGCTAAGGAGCACATTCAGTCCCATCCTTGCCTTGGATAGCCAAGGAAACAGGCTTGGGAGTCAGCAGAAGCTGCATCAAACCCTGCACGAGGGTAATTTCTGTGTGCACAAGAATTCAGGCAGAAGAGATCTCCAGCAAGAAGTAGGTGATGGTCCCCCACACCCTCCTCAGCCGGGAGAGAGAGGTTGATCCTGTGACTCATCAAAGCATCAACATCACACAGCGGGAACAGCTATAAATACCACCCTTATTTTAGTGTATTTACAGTAAATCTAAGTCAGAGGAATAAAGGGAAAACACTTAAAGGGCACTTGAGGGAGACATGTCTGGAGGTGCCAGCCCAGCCCCTGAGCTGTGGACAGGTATGATCCCCCACCCTGGCACTCAGTGTTTGCACACTCACATTTCACACACAACAGGCCTGATTTTACAAGCCTTGTTCTCCTCCTGCAGCTCCCCCAAACCAAAGCTGTGACTTTCTCAACACAAGGTTGAGACTTTCCCCTCTCCTGCAGCACCTGGTGCAGTTAATCCTCATCTGATGTGCAAAACTAATCAGAACTGTTCACACAACCCTGTCCCTATCCACATTCTTCTCCTGTGGTCCCTCCTCCCTGAGGGGAAGGAGAGCGTCACACCTGAGTGCAGCAGCTCAGGGGCTCCACTGCAGGGGCTCCAGGCAGCTGCTGTTCCAAGGAGCTGAGCACAGAGCCGTGACCTGCACGCAGAGGGAAGAGCCCCATCCCTGCTCCAGGGGTGGGCACCGCACATCTGCCACGAGGGAAGCCAGACTTCCCCCCAGTGCTGGGATGTCAGAGCTCAGGACGGCAGCAAGATAAACCCACACAATTTCATTGGTTATTCCCAGGGAAAATTCTCTGCTAGAGCCTATGGAAAGACAGGAGTATTTTTGTAGCATTGCATACACCAGGAAATTGCCTATTTCTCCTCCAACTGCTGTTTCAACTGTTAAGTACCAACAGCAAAGCCTGCAAATTGCCCAAAACACCAGAATCTTGGCTGTTTTCTTGACTGAGGTCCTTCCCAAGCTGCTCTCCCAAAGACGCAGGCACGCCGCGTGCGTATCCCATGGCAATGCAGGATGAGATCATTACAGCAGCTGAGGAGAACAGTGGAAAATTTCAAGCCTCACTTTGCAAACATTAACCTTTTTTATCAGCAGTGCCCAGGAACCCTGGCCACGGGAGCCAGGTCCCCGCTGTGCTGGGCACTGTGCAGACACGGGATGAAAGGACAGTCCTGGATGCAAAAGAGCCTCAGCAGGCAGAAGATCCAGATGGTGGGACAGAAGGAAAACACGCGGCGAGCTCTCCAGCAGCGCCCTTGCGTAAGGGGCACCGTTCTTCAGGAGACACCAGACCAACACTGGTCAGGCACTGGTGCTGCCCCAGGGCAGCAGAGGGACTGCAGGAGCAGCAGGAATGCTGTTAGGAAAACACCATTGAGAAAAGACACCACCTGGAAACGTCATCAACGTGCTGCCAGGTCAACAGCTCCTGAGCTGAGCAAGGGCTGTGTGTGGAGAGCAAAGCAGAGACCAGCAATGCAGCCATGAGCCTCTCCCTGCATCCCAGGGCTCCAGGTGCAGCTGCCAGTGGCATGGAGGGAGTGTGCAGATATCCCTGGCACCTGCAGCAGGCTGTGGCCTTCTCTCTGCCATCCACACAAACACTCTGCCTGGGGGTGGATCTGCCTCACGTTTGAAGCAGAGCCAAAAATGAACATGTTTCTTCAAAAAGCTGCTGTGGTCAGTCCCAGGGCAGAGGGCTGCTATAGAACACAGATCTCTCCCTGAGAGATTTTCTGCAAGGAGAGGTGGAATTGGATGGTTTGAAATCAGGATATGTGTGGGATGAGCTGGCAAGCACTGAAGACACAGGCCAGTCACGCAGGTCATTCCAGATGAACATCACTCACTGTTTCTGTAGTATCACATCACCCTAAGGCCAGACACCTCTAACCACCAGGAAACACCCTCGTGCCTGTGTCATGGCTCACCCAGCACCTGACCTGACCTGGCCCAGTGCTCCTCCTCAGGCCAGTGGTGCTGCAGGAGCAGCAAAAGGAGATTCCCACATCCAGGAAGGGAGGGCAGAATGTGCAAGGCTGACCATGTCCTGGACATCTGTCCTCCCCACCAAAAAAGGCTGTCTGTCCTAGGCTATGTGGGACAGCAGGACTGCAGAGACCTGACAGTGATTCTGATTGTTGAATTTATTTAATTCTCCTGTCTGCAAAGCTGGGGGCTCCAGACAGGATGACTCAGGACCAAACCTACACTGCACTGAATCTAAAGGCTTTGAAGGGACAGAAAACGTGTCTCATCATGGCACAGGTGGAGCCTGATGCTCCACTGCCCTCAGAAGGTATTGCCAGCATGGAAGTGGATGCTCTGACTCCATGAATATCCATCCCATCGCTCCAGCTGCGCTGCCAGATATGCCGTGTCTGGGAGGATTTCTGAACACCAGGCTCCTGGGGCCCTGTGACTGCAGAAGGATCTCAGCAGCCTTCTTCATTTGCATAAGTTCCCAATATTCCTGGCTCCACAGTAGAGCTTGAAAATGGATTTTAAAACACAAAGAAGAAACACCTTCATATTTTTTAGCAGTTTCAAAATGTAATGGATATGATTTCGAGCCTGGCTCCAGGAATTTGCATCTGGCAAATCCATGGTAAGGACTCATCTCATGACCAAGCAGAGCCACACAACAACTGTGAACTCCAAATTCCTGTCAAGACACTTGTCCTCTGGTTGCACAGCACCACTGCACTGACAAGACAAGAGGGAATGGCATTAAACTGCCAGAGGGCAGGGTTAGATGGGATATTAGGAAGAAATTCTTCCCTGTGAGGGTGGGGAGGCCCTGGCACAGGTTGCCCAGAGAAGCTGTGGCTGCCCCATCCCTGGGAGTGTCCAAGGCCAGGTTGGAGGGGGCTTGGAGCAACCTGGGCTATGGAAAGTGTCCCTGCTCATGGCAGGGGGTGGAACGAGATGGGCTTTCAGGTCCCTTCCAGCCCAAACCATTCTGGGATTCCATGTGCAGGATGAGCAGTGGACCTCCATCATCCAAAAAGCTTAAAACTCACTGCATCCCCTGAGCATGGGGGGCAAACACCTTCTGTGCCACCTCAGGATGCCAAACAGAGTATTTACATCAGAGTTCCAGGTAAGCAACTGGCTTTTTGCTCAGCATTTAATCACAGTTTCACTGTTCTTGGAAAAAGAGCAGCAAGTTCCTTCTGCACAAGCCCTCAGGAGGCTGCTCTGCAAGGGTTCCCTCCAGCTCCAGTGTGACCTTCCACCTGCACAACCTTCACAACCATAAGCCTCCAAGACAGCAGGAACGCACTCAGATTTCTCAGAACTACTCAGGATGCTTCAAATTGCTCAGACAAAGGCCAGGCACTCCTGCCAGGGCTGTATTTTGGTGCAGCCCACCATGCACGTGCAAGCACCAAGGGCCTTTGCCCTGCCCGGGTCGCTGCTATTTGTGCACAAACAAGCCTGGACACGCACGGGCTCCAGGGCCTCTCTGGGCAGCTGCGCCGGACACGAGTCTGGAATTTATCCCTTCATTTCCTCTCACAGCCTATTTCCAAACCACCTTCTGAGCACAACAGGCAGCAAACAACTGCATGAGCACAGAGCTGGAGGTGTTTAGAGCTGCAGGTCGACCTCAGAATGCCACATGAGCAGGGTGACACACCGAGAGACCTCCAAGTGACTCTCCTGACCTTGATGCCCACTGGGGCTGACCACAGAAGGAACACCAAAGCCAAGGGACATGACTTATCCATGGCTCATGGCTCCTCGATGGCAGAGCCTCCCAGCCTGACAGCTCCTGGATTCACCAGTCTCCACCCTGCTGGCTCAGGGGGAGAGCTGAAGTTTTTGTAGTGAAGAAAGTATTAAGTAACGAACAAAACACACACAGGTTTTATTGTTCCTGGCTGCCAGTCAGGACCTTGTGTTACGTAAAAGAATAATAATAATAAATAAAAAAATCAAAATTCGTGGCCTACATGTCTGGCTGGCATTTGTTCTGGAAGCTTGTTCAGTTCCTCTTGCAGCAGTATTTTCTTCAGCGCTGATAATTAACCCCACATCCAGTCATGTCACAGAATGTCCTCGGTAATTAATCCAAGACACAGGCAGCTGAGCAGCAGCTCCCACCAGCAGCCTCCTCTCAAGGAATCCCAGCTCTCAAAGCACAACTGCCAGTGCATGGACACTCTGAGGGCCAGCTCAGGACCAGGGAGGGCTCACTGAGCAACCTCACACCAAGTTCCACATGCTTTTCCAAGCCAACACCAAGATGAACTGTTGTGGATGGTGTGAGAAGCAGACAATTCATCCACTGCTGGTCCCTACACAGGGACAGGCATGGCTGGCTCACACAGGATGAATCCCCAGGGACTTCAACATTTCACTGTTCCCCAGAGCCATGGGGAATTCAGCTCCACACCCACGGCTGCCTTTCCTCTGAAGAGAAGTGGTTTCCCAGAACTAAAGGCAGATCTCCCGGAGGACGGGACCTGGGATGGGGGATATGCAGTGCAGAGAGGCTGAGGTCAAACCCTGGCGTTTGTCACCAGGCCAGGGGTTCCAGCTGCCCCCCCACGTGTCCGTGTGCTCCTGCCTCTGTGCCAGCGGGACACTGGGGCACGGGGCCGAGCTGCTCCTGGTTCTCCTGACAGTCCAACATCCAGGCCCACGGCCGTGACCACGCTGGTTATGTGTGCACTGAACACACAGCTGGCAGCCTGATCCAAACCCCCACTTCAGGAGCAGTGGGACAACGCTCCCAAGGACTCTTTTCAGGAAGTGCAGCGGTGTCAGGCAGCCACACGCTCCTGCTGCTGCCAGGACACCCTGTTCCTCTGACACAGGCCACAGCTTTGTTCTGGGAATTGTTTTGGACTCCTCCAGTGGATCTGAATATGCCTCAGCGTCTGCAGCACACGGATGCAGAGGGTACTGTCAGATTTTACCCCCAAGGACACTCTGCTGCAGACCTTACAAGGACCAGCTCTCAGAGCCCCAATCCCACCACTGGCAGCACCTCAGCTCACAGGAGGGGTCAGTGCTCCGCGCCCTCCACACTCCTTGGATCAAACCCCAGCCACTTCCCAGCCAGTCCCCTTTTCAAGTCCATAACGAATGATTAGAAAACAAACAGGAAATTTCTCTCAGGAGAGACCCAAGGGCAAAGCAGATGAACAAGCAGGAGAAATTAACAGAAAAACAAATCGCAAAAATACAAGAATGGGGAAAACCAGCATTGAAGAAAGCAGAATCTTCACTGAGGGGTGGCAGACCAAGAGCTAAGGCAGCCACTTGCCATGAAACCGGAGTCTGGGTGCCTTTTGTAAACAGCCATATCCCTGACTCTGCCTTTTCGCTGGCTTTTTGGAACTGTTCCACTTCTGTAAAGTTTCGAAGCCTTAAAAATTAAGCCATTCTGAGGGCACAGAGTCGCTGGTGATGTTTTCCACCAGCCCCTCCAACTGCATTGTAAACAATCGCTTCCTGCTCCTGTTGTGTAATGATTCAAAGACAAAAACAAGCCGTATTTACTTTCTCCAACAGAGCAATTACAGCCCTGACCCAAAGCAACTGCGGGGGCTGCCAGGCCTCCTCCTCCTCCTCCTCCTGGCTCAGCTCTGCAGCCCAGTCAGCTGAGAGAGCAAAAGGGCAGAGGAAAGTACAGAGAAACAAGGAGCACTTGCAGTTGCCGGCACCAAACTCCCTCACCCCCCTCCGTCCCTCCGGGGCTATTTTAATCCTGCTTTCTTTCAAGTACTCTGAGCCTTGGATTTTGTTTTCTTTCTGGCTCACAGAGTCTGAGTGATCCACAAAGGCAAACCAGACTCCTCCTGACCATAATAAGCTGATTCTCACCAGTTTAGCAGTAGGTAGTTACGAAGGGGCTGATTTAGGATTTCACTGCTTTTAATACGTGGTTTAGGAGAACACAGCAGGGTCCCAGTGAGCACCCCGGGGCACCCAGGCTTCGTCTGGTTCTTGTTTGTGCGTGTTCCCTTGGCAGGGGAGGGCTGGGTAAGCATTCAAGGCCGGAAGGGTTGTGCCAAGAAAATACCAAATATTTACAGTTTCCAAGAGAGCAGCGAGGGTCTGGATCAGCAGTTTTCAGCAGGAAAAAAGCTCCAATTTTAAAACTCACGTAGGGAACACGCCCTCACCTGCGTTTGGGCAGTAACTGGCACAACACGAGGCTTTGTTCGACAGGAAAACACCGATTTCGGCGTTACACAGACAGCAAAGCTCAACTGATACCCCCCAGGGCTGTGACCTGCCAGGAACACGGAGCCCTCCCCGCGCCAGCTGGCAAAGGGCAACAGCAACAGCGACTGATGTTCCGTCTGACCCCACTGTGGGGTCTGGCGATAAAATCTGGGACTTTCTACGGTCACCTCCCCACCTTCTGAGCCTGCCCACCGCGCCCCTCTGACAAAGGGCTGGGTACGGGGCGATCCCTGACCCCTCTGGGTCCCAAGGGCCAGCGGAGAGGGTGTGCGGCGCTCGGGAACCGCCAACCAGCCCACCGCGGGGCGGGACGGGGCGCGGGGACGCGATTTTGGGGGGGGGGTCGCTGTTGCTCTGACAGCCGGGAGCGACACCCCGACATCCCCCTCCCGACCACCGCCGGGAGCGACACCCCGACATGTCCCTCCCGACCACCGCCGGGAGCGACACCCCGACATGCCCCTCCCGACCGCCACCGGGGGGATCCCGCCCTGCGGGCTCCGCGGCCGCTCGCGGTGACCTCCCGGGACAGGAGGGGACACGGGGGTGGCGCGGGGACCCCCGACACCGCCGGGCTCTGCCGGGCGGGCGCGGCCCCCCCGGAGCGGGGATGAAGTGACATCAGCGCGCGGCGGCTGCTGCGGCCCCGCCGCCCCTCCGGGCACCGCCCGCGGCCGGGGGGCAGCGCGGGGGGGGCGCGGGGCAGACCCGCTGATCCCCCGTCCACCCGACCGTCCGTCCGTCCATCCATCCGCCATCCCTCCCCGCCTCCCCTCCGGGCGCGGCCCCCTCACCGAAGGCGCGGCGCTGTTTGAAGGGCCGGTCCGAGGGCATCGCGGCGGCACCGGCACGGCCGCTCCGCTGCCTGCGCTGCGCCGCCTGACGTCACCGCCGCACGCCCGGGGGGCGGGGCCTCGCCCGCCCGCGGCCCCGCCCATCGCCCCGCCCACCGCCCGCCCCGCGGGGCTGCCCCTGCAGGGACCCGGGGTGGGAATGCCGTGGGAATGCCGTGGGAATGCCGTGGGAATCGTGGGATCACGGGGCTGGGTTGGGTTGGAAGGGGCGACACTGACCTGGGGTGCCATGGAAATCATGGAATCGCGGGTTGGCTTGGGTTGGAAGGGGTGACAGTGACCTGGGAATGCTGTGAAAATCATGGAATCACGGGTTGGGTTGGGCTGGAAGGGGCCTTAAAGCTCATCCCTGGAAGGTCTTCAACTGTCCCAGGTTGGTCCAAGCCCCGTCCAACCTGGCCTTGGACACTTCCAGGGATCCAGGGGCAGCCACAGCTTCTCTGGGCAACCTGTGCCAGGGCCTCCCCACCCTCACAGGGAAGGATTTTTTCCCAATATCTAATCTAAAACTCTCCTCTTTTAGTCCAAATCGGTCCCCCCTTGTCCTGTCATCACTCTCTGCCCGTGTAATAAGTCACTCTCCCTCTTTTTTATGAGCCCCCAACACGAGACAGGGCTGCTGGTGACACGGGGCCAGCCGTGCCCAGTCAGCAGGAACCCCATGGCAGAGCATCACCACCCCCTGAGGGGACACAGCGGTCCATCAGAGGTGACCCCAAACACCTGCACTGTTCAGAGCAGCACACCAGAGAAGGCAGCAGGAGGACACCTGGGCTGGGATTTCCAGAGGTGCTCACAGGACACAGGTGTCCGTGACTCTGGCCTGCAGTGGCTTCTTCTGGACATCTTGGATCAAACACCTTCCAGGTGTCACTGGGAGGAAACGCTGCTGGAGTGAGGTGGGTGGAGGGGAAGGACTGTGCAGGGATACAGCTGAGACAGCTCCAACCGGGGCTGTGCCTGGGAGATTCCAGACAGCAAATCTGGACACGAACCGCCCTCACACAGACACTCAGACATTTGCAATTCCCACGTCTCCCCAATCATCTACCAGCTAACGAGCCCCTCGTTTTCCCTGCTGCATCCAGAGCCACGGCTGTGCTGAATATTTCAAAGCCCGCAGCACAACTACAAATAGGGCAGCTATTTCTGGAGCTGGTAAATGAATCAAAAACAACTGCAAACACAGCGTCAGTGCTTCACCAAGAACCAGGTTTAACATCCCTCCTCGCTGTACACTGCAACAGGAGTGTATCATGTTGGAGCAAGGTCTCATTGCTACAGTGAATTGGCACCAAACACGAGTGAATGCAAAATGTTAAAGGATTAAGTACAGCCTTGGTAAAAAAAGGACATGAAAGATGCAGGCTGGTAAAGAACTGCTCTGATTCTTGTGTCATCAATTAAAAGAAAAATATGTTTAATGAGAGTTGAACAAATTCTTTTCTCCTTGTTAAATTTACCCAAGAAAGGAAACACTTTCATGGCCAATGCCATGGATTTTCCTTGACCAAGCAGTAGTTAAATAAGCCCATGCTGGTAAGGAAGTGTAATCTCTTCAGACTCATTTTCATAATTAAGATACAGGGAGAGACATTAATCTCTGATATAGGTCCTGTTAATCAGAGAATACCTAAGGGAAAGCAGGAATGATGAATCAGACATGGAAAGGTGAACCTTACACACTGTGTCCTCAGGCAAAGGGGTTTACTATTTATTGCTATAAAGTGTGAACCCCTTTTCGATGGGAGGAATGTGGAACTCTTTCCAATATAGTGGTTTCCAATATAGTGGTTTTATCCATGCAGACCTTGTTGCAGGACTGGGGCCATAATTCCACAGAAGATTATTCATACACTTGGAGAAGGAGAAAAGACCCCATTTCATTGAAGCTCTGGAGCTTCTTAGCATGTTAAGGTGCTTACAGAAATGGGACATCGATCAAGGAAGTTTTACTTCTAATACAGCACAACGTGATTTATACACCCCTTCCTTCAGCCCTCAGCTTCCTGATCAACCCTGCACACATTAGTGCCTCTCCTGCCTGGTCTAACTGATGCCATTGGCAAAACTCCTCACTTAAGGAGGTGCATTTCAGATCCCAACCCCCCTGGAGCACTCAAAGGTAAAGGCACCAGTGAGCTGTCTTGACACGACCTGGAACCAGCAAGGAGCTTCCCACCTGCCAGCGTTCCAACAGGGTAACCTGTGCTGACCAGGAGCACTCCTGGGTGCTTGTGGAGCCACACCAGCGAGGGAAATGTCCCCAGAGAAATCCTGTGATGCTGTTAGAGTGTGTTTTCTTCAGCAGAATTGTGTTGATGCTCAGGCCTGTGCTGGCAGGGCAGTGTCTGAGCTCTGGCCCCTGCACAGCCCCGGCTGCCTCTGCTTCTCCTGCCGCTGACAGGGCTCTGAGGAGCTGCTGCAGCTCTGCCCACACGAGTACAGCCCAGCAGTGAGAGGGGCTCTGCCTTCATGCCCTAGAGATGTAGTTACATGTAAGTGTTGAGATCAAACAAACCACAGAATGGTTTGGGTTGGGAGGGACCTTAAAGCTCATCTCACTGCACCCCCTGCCATGGGCAGGGACACCTTCCAGCAGCCCAGGTTGCTCCAAGCCCCGTCCAACCTGGCCTTGGACACTTCCAGGGATGGGGCAGCCACAGCTCCTGAGTGAGGAGGAGCACTGTCATCAGCCACCTTGGGCAGATGAAGAGTTGCTTGGGAGGGCACTGGAGCCAACACAAGCTCCTCAGAAGATGAGTGTCTACAAGCCAAGCTTTTGCAGGGTCACCTCCATTCCTCTGCCAGAGCCTTCTCCTGGAGCAGGGTCAGCACAGGAGAGCACGTCCTTGGGCCTCAAGGGCTGCTGTTCATGGCCCAGAGCCACTCCCCAAACTCCCTTTCACTACCTTGGTAATGTGTCAGGGCTTGTTTTCCACATCCCTCTGCCTTCAGTGAGGGATGCACCAAAACTGACCTCTCCAAGAGAGCAAACCAGGTCAGTCCCCAGCCCGTCCACAGAGCAGCTCCCAGGCACAGGGGCACAGGCTATTCAGGCCATCCTGTGATCCATGTGCTTTCTGCCCAGGAAAAAGGACTGGAACCATCATGCTCGTTTTTCTGCTCTTCCTCAATTTGACAATGGTTTTACCATACCAATGACCAGGCCCAGACTCAGCAAGCACAGGACAAGAAGCTCAACTCCATCCATCTCTTTTTTGGCCCTATTTAAGGTAACTTAAAGAAAGTGAAATTCTCCCCTAAACTTACATACAGGAAAATTGCTGCAGGTCAGAGCTCTGTGACCCTCTGATGCTCCTGATCCAAGACACTTTTTCTCCATAGCAAGTAACTAAATAGAAGTTGTCGTTCTTCAGCTTCCTCCACCCCTTCTCCTTTTTTAGAAATAAATCAGAATTAATTTGGATGCAAAGTGTAAAGGTGGCACTAGCAAGGCCCTGCCCAGATAGATTTGACAAGCTCCTTCAGACTCCAAACCCAGCTTCCTAAGACCCTTTTATTCAAATTCCTGAGTATACTTCACGTCAGCCCTTGGGAAAAAAAACCCAACAACCCAAACCAACCAGCACACAGCAGGAGCTGAGTCATTTCACTGCAAGTTTATGATTTCAACCCAGAAAAAGGCCGTGATCTTTGTTTTGCAATAGGTTATTTGTTACAGCTTGTTTTAAACAAAACCCACCTCAACACTCTCTCTCCCAAGCTGCTATGACACAAAGGCACTGGCAGGACAGTTATCCTTAAGGAAGTGTCCAAAAGAATGCAGGGCACTACAGATGGTTCACTGTTCAGGGGAGTACCACCACCACCTACTTGGGAAAGCCAAAATCCATAAGCAGGTCACCACCTCCAAGGAAACCTTTCTCTGGACTATGAACAACAACAGAGAGAGATCACTAAAGTCACATTTTTCTCCTGCCTTGCCTCACTACTCTGTTATTATCCAGACTTCAGCTTGCTGGAGGTCATTTCTTGGGAGACAGCATTCAACTTTTGCAGATCACAGGCACTGTACAACCTGCTGTGTACCAGGAGCTGCTCCAAAGGCCAAACAGGATTCCAGACCCTATTCCCTGCTTCGGTGGAATGGCTTAAACCAGACCCAAGGAGGTGGGAGAAACAGTTCATGAACAGGAGCAGCCAACACTGAGCCATGATGGCAGCTGAGACACCCCAAATGCTGTAAATCACCCTGACCCAGATGCTGCAGGGCTGACTACAAATCTCAAAAAGCATTTCTGGCCTTCAGGGTTGTGAACACCACCTAAAAGACAGAGACAGTCTGTAAATTAATGTCCAGGTGTTAAAATGCACAGAAGAAAAGCTGAACATGGAGGTTACCTGGGCTGTTTGAGTGCCCACACACCCACCACTGAGCTCTGAAAGCCACAGGTGCCCAAGTCAACACCAACATTTTTACTGAACTCTCCAAAGCTGCACTGCCTGCAGCACCCCCAACCCTGCTTCTTTTTTGTTTTTCTGAAGAAAAACTCAATCAAAACAACCCCTTTAGTACCTTGAGAGGGACCACATGACTTTTTTTTGTCCTTAATGGCCATCAAACAAAAAACACTAAAGGAAGATACCGGGCCAAACTGGCTACTGAAGTGGCAGTCTGGGAGCTCCATGGGCAGCCTCGATGGCCTTACTTGGCCATGAAAATTCTGTCTGGAACTGAAAGAAAGAGGTGGGAAAATGCTCCAACACGAGGCAATTGTGAGTGCGCTGCATGTGCCCTTAGAGCAGATCCTTGTTCAGAGAAAGCAACAGACAGGTAAAAGCAGTCCTAGGAAGGTTCTACTTTTTGAATAAAAAGTCAGTCAATCACCAGAATACTTAAAATCTCCAGAAGAAAAACACATAAGACAAAGCCAGTCACTGGTGACATATTTTAATATGATATGGTCAGACCTTTTGGAAGTAAAACCAACAGAGTAAGACAGAACTAGAGGACAGGCAGAGTCATATTTACAGCCACTCAAAACTAGTAGTGTCAAAGCAGAGCTCAGTGGTGACAGAGGCATGGAGGCATACAAAGAATAGCCTTTTTTAGGTTATTATTAGAATTTTATTATATTATCTTCTTAGCTATTAAAAGAATCTGTTGCATTTTTTACTGCCCAATTCTAACTCACCAGCTCTCCCTCGAAACGACTTGTGATACAAAAAAAAAGTGCCATTTTTGCTGTTTGTGGACAGCAAACCACCTGCTTTTGTTTTTCCAAACCTTACTGGAGTGGCACAGCACAGTTAACACTAATGCTCTATTCTTTACCATTAAATTAAAAAAAACCAGTTGGGCAAAGTGGAAAAAAAAAACAGACCAAGTCAGTGCAATCATTCAGTTGGGTTCTGGATGACAATCAGGAAATAGTCTTTATCTGGAGAGAAAAAAAAAAGAAAATTATTCTTTCATTGCTGATATTTGTTCACAGAAACAGTAAATTCCAACATTTTTCACATCTCCCTTATACACTGTGGGAACTCCAGAGCCCCGATATTGATTCTCAACAAGCAAAACAGGCTCTGTGTGTCAGATCACTTATTTTATGGGTTTTATGATAAAAAGTCTCAGTTTTAGAAACTTCATGTTCCCAAGGCAGCTGAAGTTAACCCTGTTTGTGCCAGGGCACATGCAATGATGGAATCAAAGCCAGCAGTGGAAGGCAGTGGTTTCCCTCCTCTTACTGTGGGCTGCAGTCGTGTTTTTCCTGGAGCAATCTTTCCATCCTTCCTGTGGAAATCAGAGGCTGCCCCAGCATAAACCAGAGCCTGCATTAAGATGTGCCCTGACCTGTGCCCGAGGCAACTGCCTCAGCCTTGGCCTCTCCATCAGGACCATCCACATGGAGTACACAGGGAAAAGCTGAATTCCTGCCACACCAGGGAACTGCACTCACTGAATTTGATGGAATACTGAGAATGTTTCCTGAAAAGCAGGCTGCTGTTGCTGTATTCCAGGACTCATCATTACAGCTACAATGTAGCTCTAATACCTTCCTCAGAACTGGAAAATCAGGACTGTTTTGTTTTCTCACTCAGTCCACAGTTCTGAATGGAAACTGCTCTCAAAACATATTCCTTTCCAAATCCTGGGGTTTTATACCAAAAAACACAAAGCATGAGAGGCTGCAACGTGCTCTCAAGCACTGTTTCATGCCTTCTCCTTTGATCAATGCAAAATGAGGGAAGTGATTTCTCACACTCAAACACAGCAAAGCGAACTTCGGTCCGTGACAAAAGCTTTCAACTCTGCAGAGAGCAGAACAGCTCCCTGGCAAGAAGGGATTATCCAGTGTGAGCACAGCAGCAGGCAGAACGCTTCTCCAGGCTGGCAGTGAGAAAACAATCCTGCTGGGTGCCCTGATTCCCGCTCCCTTTTACCTGGAGCAACCATGATTTCGTTTTTCTTGGAGCGGATGCGCAGGAAGGTGAGGTCGTTCTGGGGGTCGATGTCCCGCACGGTGCTCCGCGCCTTCATGATGAAGCTGTGCATGAGCCCGGCATACTGGATGGTTGTGGAGTTGTCCATGGTGCTTTTGATAGGAATACCTGCAGGAAAGGCACAGCAGGGCTCAGGACAACACTCCAGAACCTCGGGCACCACCAGGTCCAGCTGGGGTGGCTGTTCCACCTCAGGAGATGCTGCTGTGCACCAGGGTCAGGAGTGTTCTTTTTAAAGGCAAAAGGAGAACATGAACAGCAACAAGATGAGGAAAACCTGAGATCTGGGACCACGAGTGTAGGTGAGAACTGTTTACCTGCAGTAGCATCAGTGCTCTACCTTTGCATTTCCATTTATTTATTTATGAGTTAGAAATAAATAACAACAAGAATAAACACCTGCAGAGGAGAGAGGAAATACCAATGCTTCAGTTTAGTTCTCCTGCCTGGGGACACCTTTTTCTTTCAGAAAGGCTCCAGACCACCACAGTTAAATGAGACTCACGTAGGCCACGCTGGGCCTGGGATTATACAGGACATCAGCTGCTGCAGCCCACAGTTCCAAGGCTGAGGCTCCACCGTTCAGCCACAGCAGGTGATGCAGTCCTGTGAGGTCCCTGCCTCAGTGGTCACCAGCCAGGAGGGCAGACACACTGCTTGGCCAGAGTCTTCCCTCCCCTACGCTTCAGCCACCCATTAGCTGTGTTTTCCCACAAAGAGCCAGTCAAACCCAGCTCAGGTGTCAGAACAATGCAGCAGCCAAGGGCTAAATCCTGGCAGGGCAGAACCACTGCTGCAGGTTCCAACAGCTGCAGCTTCAGCCTGGAGAGCACAGCCCATTACTCACCACCAAGGAAAAGCAGCGAGCAGGAACACAAGCTACTTACATGTACCCAGTGATCTGATCCTCAGTATATTCATATACAGCCACTGTCATCTTTTCTAAGGATCATTTCTAGGACATATTCCATTTTAATTGATAATCACACAATTTTAAGGGCTGCTCACAGTGTATTCAGAGTGCTCTGAAGCAGCTGCTCTGTTGGACCCTTCAATGACTCCAAAAAGAGACAATTTCCTGATGAGTCCTGCAAGGCCACGAGCACCAAACAGTGCTGAGGAACTTGAGTCTGCCAGGCCAGCAGCACTCTGGACATGCACAGCAGCAAGACTACACATCTCATGAGAGCTTCAGTGCTACTGACAGAGGTTTTGATAGACATAGTCTCAAACACTGGCATAACTCAAGTATTTCAAAGCTTTTGCAAATTATCTTAATTTATTTCCTACAATAATAGAATGAGCTTGCAGAAATGGGAACTCAGTTTTCCCTTGTAGTCTCTCTGCTTTGGTTCCAGAGAAACTCCTGCTAAAGCCAGACCCTAAGCTAAGTGGCACAGTGAGCAGCCCCCCAAGCACAGGGTTAGAATAAGTTACAGCTCAGAGAAGCGAGGCTGACACAGCACCTTCCGAATTAACCACGATGATTCCCTGCACTCCTTTTTGGCTCTGGATTCGCTTCAGCGTTTCCTCCACCTCAGCCTGCAAACAGAGAAAGCACAGGTCAACAGGGGGTTACAGCTGCTGTTTGCCTCCCACCAGGGCTCTGTCTGAAAACAAAGCTACACAGGGGTGATTCAAACACACACAGTACAGCAAAGTGGCTGTGCTTTGGTACCACCTTTTCTGCAGGACCTTTGCTGTTGTTTTCCGTCTGTCTTTGCTCATCGCTCATTTGTGATAATCACCTTGTGGAAACGTGGAACTCCCCTCTCATCTTTCCCTCCCTCCTCCTCCCCAAACCTCCCAGCGAATTCTTGCAGCTGGAAGTTGCAGTCAGGCCACTACAATTTGGGTGTGAGACAAAAGTAATGTTTGAAAATAGATACGGAATTTATGAAAAAAGTAGGAAAAAGACACATTCTGGGTGCAAGATCACCTTCCCTTTTATCAAATGACTGTTAAGAGCAATTACTCATAAGAGAAGTGAGGGGAAAGCAATTAATAAACACTATTTGCTTATAATTCTGAGTCATGCTGGGATGGCTGCAAGATTATAACACTACCAATAAAAAAACTACAGCTTGAAAAAGGGAAAATGCAAACAAGGCCAAGGCAACAGGCCCTTATAGTCCCTTTGCCTTCTCCGTAAAGACCATCAAAGTCAGAGGAGGTTTCAGTACCTTCTGCACAACTTCCACTGCTACAATACACAGATCAAAATGTAACTCTGGGTTCTGTAACAGGGTGGGAAACCCTCAGCACCACAGCTGGGGAAATACATGGCATTTTTTATTCCAATATTCCAAGAGACAGGCAGTATCTTTCAGATCCTGCAAGGCAGAGTCCCACAGAAATGGTCAAGGAAGGGAGACAGGAATCCCCTGAACCAGGACAGGTGAGACCTACGCGGGGCATTTGGCCAGGGCTGCGTTCCCTGGGCACTGGGAACAACCCTCTGCACTTCCTCCCTCAGCAAACAAGCCCAGCCATGTTCTCCAAGCCCTGTTCCCTGGGAAGAGCCCTTGTCCTCACAACACAACACGAGCTCAGCCCCAGCACTGTTAACCCACTTTCCTCGGGAGGCTGTTGGGAACACGACCTGTGCCTGACCAGGGGTGGGACCCCCTGGGCTGCTCTTTGTGGAGCAGAGGTTTTTCTGTCTGATACAGCACAGAAAGATTCAGTCTTTTCAACAAAACTCTTGATAATTTCTGAATGCTGGATTATTTTCAGATGGAAGGCAAAGGGAGTGAAATGAAGAACAAGATATGGGGTGCACAAACGCTGACAGAAATATGATGGCAAATCTCTTAAGAAATTAAGAAGTAATCTCTTGACTTCTTACTATCAGTATTTAAGTCCTGATTCATTAAATACTTTCCTTCACAGGACCTTTAAAAACATTTGGATGCAAAGTAGCAGCCATACAGAAGCATACCAGCTTTTAATTTCCTCTACCACCAAGAGCTGATCTAACTCCCAGGCGAGGGATGGGCTTACAGTTCACTGCTGCTGACATGGGAGGGTCCTGCTTCTCCTACTCCCACCCTGGGGCTTGTCCAACACCTTCACCAGCCAGTATAGCTCACCAGAGCAGCAAAATTATTACTGAGAAAAAAAATTATATATTTAACTCGTCAAACAAATAAAAACTATCTTAACAAAGTGCTGGATAACTACAAGAGACATGGGGAAGGAGAGATGCACTCTGGAAAAGGAGGATAAACACTCTCCTATCGCCAATTTGCTGTCAAATACCCTTTGCTACACATCCAAACAGCAGCCTTTATCTTCCTGTTCTCATCTGGAAAGCCTGAACTCCTGGGTTCACCTAAAAAACACATCTCATCAGATAACTTCAATTCTCTACCTACAGCCCAGGTCACCACTTATTTCTTTACAGATTTTTGACACGTATTTTGATCCCCGAATTTCATGAATACGCCCTGAACAACAACACTCCTGGGGCAGGAAGAAACCTCCGATACAATCACAGCAGAAGGAATATATCCCGGGTTTCACAGAAAATTCCAATACAATCACAACAGAATCAATTCATCCCGGGTTTCTTGGAATATTCCAATAAAATCACAATACATCCCGGGCCTCACGGAACATTAAACAGCCCCAAACAGTCCCTTTTTCCTGACTGCTCCCAGCCTTAGGGCTGTGCCCTGGCAGCCGCAGGATTCGCTGTGGGGTCCCCCCGCCTGCCCACACCGGGACCAGCCCCAGGCTCGGGGGAAGGATCCGCCTTTCCCGCAGTGACTCGGGGACAGGGAGGGCGAGGGCACCTCCGAGCTGCCGGGACGGGACAGACCCCGGGCTGGGGCACCCCCGCACAAACGCGGCCCCGAGCCGGGCCGGGGGCTCGGAGCCCCCTCAGAGCTCCGCCGCCCGCGGGGGGTCCCGCCCGTGCCGAGGGGAGCCCCGAGGGCCGGGGTGCTCAGGGACCCCCGAGGGCGGCTCTGGGGCCCCGCACGGCCCCGGCCCGGCCTCACCCACCATTGTCGAGCCGCCGCCGCCCCGTCTCGGCCCCGCCGCTGCCCCGGAAGCGCTTCGAGCGCGGGGCGGGACCGCGCCGGGGAAACATCCTCCGACATCCCACAAAACACCACGAACGGCCGCAAATACACCCAAATCCCCCCCAAAACACCACAAATGTCTGCAAATACACCCAAATCCCCCCCAAAACACCACGAACATCCGCAAATACACCCAAATCCCCCACAGAACACCACAAACGTCCGCAAATACACCCAAATCCCCCACAAAACACCACAAACACACCCAAATCCCCGACAAAACACCACGAACGGCCGCAAATACACCCAAATCCCCCGGGGCTGGCGCTCCCGGCGGCTCAGCGGGTCCTTGATCCTGCAAATAATCTCCAGCCTTCCAGTACGTGAAGGGAACAAAGATGGGGAGAGACTGGAGCCCGGAGCGACAGGACAAGGCGGAATAGCTTTACTGACAGAGAGTAGGGTTAAATCAGATGTTAGGAAGAAATCCTTCCCTGTGCGGGTGGTGAGGCCCTGGCACAGGTTGCCCAGAGGAGCTGTGGCTGCCCCATCCCTGGAAGTGTCCAAGGCCAGGACACCAACCTGGGCTGGTGGAAGGTGTCCCTGCCCATGGCAGGGGGTGGAATGAGATGTTGTTTAAGGTCCCTTCCAACCCAAACCATTCTATGTCTCCCTTCAAGCAGAGCCCGAGGAAAAGCGCCCAGTGCTGCTGCTGTGTGCACAGAGCACAGCTGGGGTTACGTGGGATGCAGTTCTTCAGGGCATTATTTTGTTTTGCCACCAGACTGTGGCCCATCCCCAATCCTTCCCTGGGGCAGCAGAGCACTCATCCCTTCTCCCTGGCAGGGGCAGGAGGTGCAGTTACCCTCAGGACACAGATTCCCAGGGCCGTGGCAGGGACATCCCAGGGTTTTGGGGTGCAGATCCCAGAGATTTGGGGTGTACCATGCCTTGGACTGGCCTTCCCCACCCTGCCCCTGTCCCAGGGGGCTCTGGCAGCAGCTGAGGGGATGCAGCCAGGGAAAGGGGGGGGAACTCCCCATCTCCCTTATCAGAGAATCCCAGAATGGTGTGGGTTGGAAGGGGACCCTGATGATCATCCAGTTTCCACAACTTACTATAGGATGCTGTTAAGTGATTCCCATCCAAGGCTTGGACGAAGCAACTCCAACATCCCTGCTGCAGAAAAAGGCAATAGCTGTTGTATTTACCTGGCACAGAAAGTCATCCTTGGGATTTGCTGACACTACCAAAACTGTGTCAACCCGGCCTGTGGGAACACCTGGGAAAGTCAGCCAAGGGAGAAGCCCGTGGGAAGGCCTGCAGCAAGGAATATCAGGCAGGATGACCTGTTTAGGGACCATTTGACCAAACTGGACATAACCAGGTTCCTGAGACCTGACGGGATGTCCCTGTGAGCACAGAGGAGCTGGAATGTCACTGCAAAGCCCATTTCAGTTATCTGGGAAAGGTCAAGGCCGGCAGGAGAGGCTCCTCATGACAGGGAGAACGTGAAGGCCACTTCTCCCTTCAGGGAGGATCAGGGACACACAAACCTGGTGGGGCTCACTGGAGCTTCTTCCCCCTCCTTTGGGGCACGCTGTCAATCCTAACCACTTGCAGTGTCATTCCTCATTTTTGTTACCCCTACAAGAGTGCCACAAGGAAATGTTACAACTGTGGCTCGTGCAGAACCTTCCTCCAGCCCACGTCCCTCACTGGCTCCGCAGGGCAGCATCCACAAGCACTAAAAATCCAGGAATTGAGTCCAAAAGCTCCTAATAAATTTCCAGTGCAATTAACAACAGTGGAAGAGGTCTCGGGAAAGAAACATTCCCAAAGAACTCTGCTAGAAGGACAACCCCAGGCAGCCCGACCCCAAACAATTCATCTGCACACGGATGTTCCATCACACACCAGGAAAAATGACCAGAACTACCAGTTCTTTAAGTAGTTTTATAAAAGTATTTGACTTATGGAGATACTGTTACAGTTACCTGAGTATTTGAAATTACAATGCAAGGAAATATCGACAATGAATTTCAGTACAGTATTTTACAATCCAGTGCTGCTGATCCCAGTTTCTTCACGAGTTCACTAGAGCACATATACACAAACAGTGAATCTTGGAGAAAATTAAAAGACACCACAAAAAGGGGGCTGGAGATACCAATATAACAGAGTTGAAAATACAAATCCAGTGCAGCATGTAATAAAATGCAAAACCAAAAAAAAAATAAATTAAAAATTAAGCAAGCATTTTTTTTATTTTTCTCAGAATAATTAAAAAAAGCTTTTTATTTTTAAACACACGCAACTGGATTAAAAAAACCCCAAACTTCCATACTAGGTCAGATGAAGACATGATGTATTTACTGTGCATGTCATTAGTATATGAACAGTTCCTGAGCTACCCAAAACAATAAGGCTTTGTTAATTCTCAGCATTTCATTTTCTCACATCACTCTCATGAGGGAAAATTCTAAATAAAAGTTCTTTTAGTACTTGATAATTAGGATCAGTTGACGATTGCATATAAACATATGCTTGTAACATACTATGACTTTATGCAGCTCAGGTTGCTAAATCAGTTGAAGTAGTGGGAGACAAATTCATTAATCTCTGCTGAAAATCTCACTTGTGAATCCAATCCACACTAACCTGTTATCTGGGACATTGGCTGCTCTGGGCTCATCCCTGTATTGCTTCACCAGATCCCCAGAAAGAACTGAAAAGTGCACCACTGGCTCATATTAATTCCTTTTTTTTCAACACAACATGCTGTAAGAATTTACAGATTTGTTAGCATTCACAAGTCAAATGCCTGAGGAATCTGAACTTGTGTCTTCAGAAATATTGCCAATTTAACACTGTGAAGTTGCTTTAAGCTTTCTATATTTTGGCCAAATCTAATGTTTTATTCATGTTTTATTTTTCCCCCTCAATGAATTCTTTATTTGCAATATTTTTAAATCATATCTGGTGCTTGGGATATCCAGCCCCCTTCCTCCCATCCTGGTACAGCAGAAAAGACATATAAACATGCCATTTAAATTAAAAGAAACAATGGAATAAGTGGAATCCTGGACATCAAAAATATATACAAGCAGGTATGTTTTTCCTGAACTAAACATTTCAACCATAAAAATATTCAACAGCCAAACCCTATAGAACTAGGGCTAAGGCTATTTCAATTATAACTATTCTTTATTTTAAAAATATAGGGCTGACAGCCTTTTGGGTGATATTTATACATGAACAATAGTTCTAGGTTCCCTACATGAATCATAAAGCAATATGCAGAACATAGACTATTTTTCATAGCTTAATCTTGCATTATCTTGCTTAGTTTACTCTCTCTTGTAAATATGTTAGATAACTACATTTCATCATAAGAATTAATATAAACAGAAAATATATATAAGGCTTTTTTTCTCCTCATGAGCTGTATAATGTAATACAACCAAATGTTGAAGTTGGCAATTTTCCTCCCAGTCAGACCATGAAGGTGAGTTCTCACCATCACGAAACTTTAAATGAGGGGCATTTCTGTATCACCAGCAACCCTCCCTGGGCCTTTCTTTGAATATGCCTGACAACAGCTATTCACTCCAGCCCCACCCTCCTGCCTTCCCAGAGCATTGACCACTTAGCCCTGACACGCTCCCGAAGTCAGTTAAAACCTGTAGTGCCTTGGTCCTTCTCAGACCCCAAGCAGTTTTGCCCTCTTGCAGTTCAGACGGATGGGACAGCAGGAAAGAAATATTCGTTTCCAGACTGGAAGTTCCGTTTTACACTTTCCCACTGTCCTGTTTCAGCTCTGTTATCTAGAACAGTCTTCAAAGCAGCTCCTGCCACACTGCTCTGAACTGCAGGCGTGCTTTAATATGTGCTACATGTTATTTCAAGTGTCACGTCTCACTGTGGCTACAGCTCATCTCACTGGCATCTGCCTTTGGGCAGGGAAAGGGCTGACCAGACTCAAAAAGTGCATTCAGTCTAAAGGAGCAGTAAAATGCAACATGTTCTTTAAACCAGAAAAGAACTGAATATTAAGAGATTCTAAAAGGACGCTGTTAATCCAACAGGAACTCACTACAAAAGTTACTAGCTGTAAGAAGCTGAGGGTGAATTAGCCTAGACACCTTCCCAAAAACTTTAGTTTCAAACTTTATCGAGCTATTTACTGATGCTCCAGCATTTCAGAAACCTGTAATGCATGCCTGAACTTCCTAATGCTCTTGGCCTCAGCCAGTCTCACACATCAGTTCATCCGCAGAGATGATGAGTGGGATCCTTTTCTGAATCCAGTTGTTTTGTACCTCTTCCCGAGAACCCAACGAACTCTTCGGAGCAAACTGACTGCAACATGTAGGAAAAACACCGAGGACAATGTCCATTAACACTGCTGACAAACATCAGTCTGCAAACAGGGACCCCAGGCAATCAGTGCAATCCCAGGTGGGCTTGTCTTTTGCAAAACAAGTGAAGTACCACAGTGTTAATATTGATTTCAGAGTTAAAATGTGTTACACAGCAAGAGATCAGAATCCTTCGGAGGGCACAGAGCAGTTCCAGCAACTTTGGGCAGGTGTCTGTTTTGCTGACAGGAGCAGGGCTGGGATAAACCAAAGCCAAGCTATGCCCTGGATTTGTGCCACAGTTTGACATCCCCTTAACAGCAGCTTGAGTCCAGCTGGCACGTGAGCAGACTCCAGGTGGGGGAAAAACAGTCTGGCCACACTTGAGTTAGAAAAAGGAGCTTAAGGAACGGGAGCTGCTCACAGCACAGAGGTGGATCCAGGCTGGCTGGCTCTGACACTGCTGTGGAGAGGGCTCAGGATGCTGCTGCAGCATTGCAGCTACCAATGAACTTCCCAGTGCACCAGTAGCAAAAAATGCTACTAAAAAGGAAAGACAAAACTATTGTTAAAAATCTGTCAGTCATTAAGGACACATTCTAATTAATGAATGGTAAAACAAAGCAGAGCCCAAAGCTGTATTAAACCTCTACTTCGGTCATTAGTCACTTGTAGCCATTATCTGATTGCTCATTTGATTTCTGAAGGTGCTCAGTAGAAATCCAGAGTTAATGTGGATAACCTCAGGATAACATCCATTTATTTACACATTAGTATTGTTAAATAAATCCAAGTCAAGTCTACTTTACAATGAAGTGTGCAACAAGCAGAAGAAGTGAAGAACATACATCGTGTAGAGTTCTCATTCTTCAAGGTGCAAATTTTTGCTACTCTTGCCCAAATCCTTCTGTTTCTTCAATTGCAAACAACAGCTTTTCCTTCAACTGCTCATAATTCTTATATGGTGGAAGGTCTAAGCGATTGAAACTGAAAATAAAGAAAAAACTTACGTACTGACAAAGAATTCAACAGTCACAAAAAATCCGTTATGAAAACAGGTTAATTTTTGCTGTGCAGATGGATACTGGGATTTATACCCTGTGAAAAGCTGACTATTGACATAAATTTATGTATTTCTGAGAGCAGAGTGCTTGAACAGTGATAGTTTTCACTAACCCTTCCTACCTGGTTAACTAGAGTCATCATTCAGATTTGAAATTTTAAATTTGTGTGGTTTTACTAACTGGTAAAACCTGAGGAAATGAGTAGAAGTGACCTTTTCCCTAGGGAAGACTGTGAGAATGTGGCTCCTTCACCAAGAAGACGTGGAGTGCAGTAATAACAAACCTCTTTAAACAGTACTGTTAATTACTCTAAGTGTTCAGTAACACACAAATCCATGGAATTTGCAATGGAATCTGCTCCATGCTATAAGAGTTTTCCAGAAGATCAGCTATTATTCAACAACACAGTTTATTGGTGTAAGTTGTGTTTGCTTTTACAGAGTCCCAGCCATTTCAGTATATTACCCATTTGCTAAAATCTCCAAGTAGGTTGTGGTCAGTAAAAACCAGAGCAATAGTGATATTCTGGGTTTTTATGTACTCACCAGGTATGACTTCTAGGTAACCAGTTTTCCTTTCCAACTTTTTCAATACAAAATTTTTGGGGTCCGTTGCTCCCTGTAACAAATTCCAATAGACAAGGCATAGGTCTGGCTACCTTTGTGTTACTATATGATACTATATAATACACCTGGAATAGGCAAGGCTTAAACAAAGAAAAGAACAGAAAATTGCACAGAAAAATGTCTCATTATAAAGCTCTGCCTGGATCAAAATTATGCATGTGATAAAATGCATCAATTGAAGTGATTTTGAAGCTTAATACATCTCTTTTGCCATTATAGCTCAAGTATGTGCAGGGCTTACAAAACAGCATTCGTTATAAAATTCACTTAAAATGTCCACAAATATATAATTTGGTTCTTTTAAAAAGTATCTGCTGCATTAGAGGGGTTATTAATACATACCCATGAGGTCAGCAAATCCTCCCACTGGCAATCTGCATGTTCCAGTCACAAACTGCAAGAGTCTCATTCTTTTCTCATTATCTATTTCTTTCACAAACTGAAAAACAGTAATTGAAACAAACAGTTGGGGATAGGTTTGATACTCAGATATTCACATAATCACCCACAGACAAACAAGTGCCACGGCTGGGTCAGCAGTAACAGTTTATTTTTGCACTCTCCAGATGTGTTCAGGGTTCTGTGCCCTGAGTTGTGCTCTGAGACTTCTGCTGGTCTGACAAGAAACCAAAGTCTGCAAACCTGCCAGAACCACACGATCTGCCTGCTGGTCCTGGTGTAGTGCCTGTAGATGGTGTGTCTCTGCCAGTCATTCAGATCTATTTCTTGCATTCCACAGAGAAGCACCTTTGGGGGGAGGGAAAAAGGAAATACATGCATGAGTACAAGTTATCACTTTCCTTTTGTGACCTCCCACACAGCAAAGCAGCACACGAGCTGCACCCACCCTGAGCAGCACCTGCAATAACAGTACACTTGGTTTTGATTTTAAACTTTATCTGAAACTTCTACACAAAAATATTGACTGTTCATGAAGTTTATCTGGAGAGGCTACAAAATAAAAAGCATCTCTGCCATAACTAACTGATTGCAGTTTCAGGAAGAAATCCTTCTCTGTGAGGGTGGGGAGGCCCTGGCACAGGTTGCCCAGAGAAGCTGTGGCTGCCCCTGGATCCCTGGAAGTGTCCAAGGCCAGGTTGGATGGGGCTTGGAGCAACCTGGGACAGTGGAAGGTGTCCCTGCCCATGGCAGGGGGTGGGACAAGATGAGCTTTAAGGTCCCTCCAACCCAAACCCCTCTGTGATTCTACACAGACAATTCAAGCCAGAACAGTTTATCTTTGCCCAGCCATAAAATTCTCCACTAGGGACAGGATGTTTTGTTTTGATGTTTTTGTTTTTTAAATGCTTCAGAAATTGTGATTTTGAGAGATCAAATCCATCTAGAGCCAGGCCCAATCTACATGCAAGTGTTCATTGCATATCTGGCTTTATCTCCCCTTCTGTCAGGTTACTCATTCTTTGAAAACAGCCAAATCAAATTGCTCAGGATTACAAAAGCAACTCAGTAAGAAATTTCTGCTGACAGAATCTTGGCCTTTAGAAACATCTATGTAGGTTGCTAAGAGGCAAGTTCAGGAAAACACACCAATCTAATACTACTCCATAAAGTTTCCTCCATAAAACAGGTGTCAGCTTTAGTGAGCTCTGCTCTTCACATGTACTGACTGCAGTTAAGAGTATTTCACGTGTAATGAGCTGGATCCAGCAATAGCCAAACAATCCTTTACCTCCAGTTCCTTTGCATCAAAATACTGCAAATACTGTTGTGGCAGAATTTCATTGAAGCCTTCAAAGAAAGCCTGTGTCTGCTCCTCAACACCTCGGGAAAGTCTCCACTCTGCTACTAGCCTAGAAAAGAAGACACAGAAGGGGAATTTAAATGGCCAGTGCTAACCCAAGTCCTCATCTTTGCCTGTTTTGAGATGAAATGTAAGCTAAGTTAAAAAAAATACAGAAAGTCTGGAAAGTTCTGGGGATAGAGCATTGTATAATTTCATTAGTAACCTTTACTCTGTGCCAAGGATTTCATTTGCTCTTTCAGTTAAACCTGAAGCGTCCAACTGTTCTCCTACAGAGTATTTTACACTCAAAGAGGAGGCAGCATCTCTTCACAGATTACCTCCATGAGAGCACAGCAGTCCTGAGGTATTTGAAGACAGTTCAAAATGCAGAGCTGATTTTGTCCAATATTCTCCCCAGAAATCTCAGTCATGATCCATGACAAGGTAAAAACCAAGTCAAGCTGTACTGGGAAGGAGCAAGCAGGACTGCTGGCTTACCAGAAGACTGTCCCTTTGGAAGTTCCATATTTGTTTCTGTTAAGGATAAAACTTTGCTCTGTGGCAGAAACTCCACTCTCCATTAATAAAAGGGTGAAAAGCAGACAGGAGACTCAAAGAATCTGAACCCAAGGAGAAGCAGATATTATACTAAATCCAAGCCTAACCTGTCAGGAGCACTGGAGCCTAAAGGAGAGGTGGCTATTTCTTATTTCAGTCCTAGAAACTTGGGGGATTTAAAGCAGATAAAGAGCAAGACAAAAGAAAGTGAGTGAAACTGGAATCTGAGCTCTCCCTACAAACTAGAAGGGAGTTTCTACAAACTTCGTAGTTCCTACAAACTAGGAGGGAATGATTTTCTGCAGATCCTCCCTCCTGCCAATGCCAGTGTGTCTCCTCTGCAAACACCACCTTTCCTGTGAATCCCTGAAGTGACACAGATTCCTCATGTGATGAAAACAGAATCCACTCCCTTCTCCCTCCCCCTGCCCGTGGAAAAAGCCTTCCAGAACACATCATAGCAAACAGGAAAACTCTCCTGTGACTCAGTTTAGTTTGTGCCTGCAATGTGTGATTTTTTTTGCAAGCACATCCTCCAAGCCTGTGTGTTGAAGTTCACACCTTAAATCAGAGCTTCTCTACTGCTGCACACTGAGGAAGGAGGGGATGTCTAGGGACAAAGCAGGTCACTGTTCACAATTGCATTACTTAATTGCTCTTAGGCTCCTTCTCTCCTAATCTATTGCTTTAAAACATTCTGGTACTGCAAATATAATTCTTCATTTATGAGAATACAATTTATGAGATCATTCATATAACACTGTCCTGTTACAATTAGACTGTGACATCAGTTCAAATAAAACTAGATGGAATTGCAACTATTTTTAAAAAATATGAATCATCACGAAAGCATCCAGAAATGTTCTTAAAAAAAACCCCAAACCAAACCACTGGCTGGGTAGAGTATCAGCAGGCTCTGAAGCAATATAATTACACTAATTAACACGTGCAGAGCTTTCATGAAATACCTGACATTCATATTTGTTGTGATGGTGTTCTGCTACACTTAAATATCTCTAGAAAAAGTGGACTTTCTTCTAACCACAGTCTTTGGGAAAAGATGATTTTAGAAACTTATTTCTATCAATCAATATTCCTCTTTCAAACATGAGATCCAAACGAGTGTCACTTTTTGCCAACATCAGCAATTACTCAGAGACAAAAATTTCAGCAATGCTTCAAGTGACACAGATGGTCTTTTGAAACTTAAGAAAGAAAATGACAGAAAGAGTGTTTGAAAGTGTTCACTTATTCTTACCTGATGTAGTCTTCTTTGTTTTCTTCCGTGACCAGAATGTTGCTACCATTTGGCTTCAAATCATGGCTTTTGATTTCACCTAATATTTCTTTATCAACGGAGAAAAACATTTCCAAGCCACACTCTTCAATGTCATTCTCTCTGTAAGGAAAAAAATATAATTTTAAATAACTGTGTTGAGACCTTGTATGCAATAAAGGAGATGAGCATGAAGAACCTAAAGATAAAAGGTGTGGAGCACATGATAATTATGGCTTTGCAAGAAGTCCTGACTCATTTTGCCAATGTGCACACATGAATTGTACTCCTGATTGGAAACTTCTGATCAGCACAACTCTCAAATTTAGCAACCACAAGGCTGACCAACTACCTCCTGATCTGAGGAATGTCTATGGAATAGAAGCTTCTCAAGTAATGCTATTTTTGCAGATTCCATGGCATGACTGCCCCTTCTCTCAGCTAGTGCAAGGACTGTGTTCAAAGGTAGCTGTCACTGACAGGTAACAGCAGGTGAGAAGCCACTTTTCATGGTCAATGAATAATCTCTTAACTCCAGCCTTTTTATGGCACTGTTTTGTAAACATATACTACAGTGTCCCAAACTCTTAAGTTAATTAAGTACAAATAGTGTTAAAGAGGAATTCTCCAAGAAATTTCAACACAGGAACAATCTGAAGGCAAAACTCTCTTCTCTTTATAGGCATTAATAGCCAGAAGGGTAACAGGTACAACACTAATTTCTGTGTTTCTGTGAAGAACTGCCTGCATATGCAGAGGGTTTGATGACCATTTTTCTCTGAAATAAAGTGCAAATTCAAGACATTTGTCCTGAACTGTAACACACAAATGTCAGTCTTGAAAACATGGCTGTGGTTTATTGAGCCCCATGGTGCAACTGAGTGTCTGAACTTCATCTTTCCAAAATACTGCAGGAAACCTGGGGGGAGGAGGGAAGGCTTCAGGTGGATGGATGATGACAAAATCACCCCTTCCTTTGAAAAGAAGAGAAACCTGCTGTAGCTCACTTTGTGCACAGAGATTTGACAGATGACTTCTAAAGGTCCCCTACCAAACTCAGTGATTCTGTGAGTCTTCCAAACTGTCAAGGAACTCAAAGCTACTGAAAGCTTCCTGCAGAGTTATGAAATTTGCTTTTCTGGTGAGGAAAAAAATGATGTCTGCCCTGACAGATGTGATTCTTTTCCCCTATAAATGTGCAGTCCCTCCCTCAGAGCAGCAGGGTCAGCTGCACTGCAGCTGGGTCTGTACTGAGGGCTCCGTGTGTCCCCTCTCAGAGCTCTGAAGGCTTTCCTCCAATTTTCACATCCTTAAGTGTTTTTTTGAAAGGGCAAAGCCCTTCCTGGACTCCAATCTAGAAGATTTTCATCACTACAGAAATTGGTTTGAATTAAAGTGAAGGCACTTTAACAGCACATACATGGAGTACAGAACATACTGCTCTGAAAATCAAATCAAAATCCCTATCTCAATTCTTGAACAGATCATACAGCTGCTTTCTCCCCTCCTCATTATTCAAGGTAATGGTTCCAAGATTCAGTACTACAGGAGATGAAAATCCTGGGTTTTATATTTAGTTTTGCATTTCAAAAACCAATCTATCCTCACCTTTTACGAATTTCTCGAAGTGTGTTTAACACTACTCTGGTTTTGTATGATTCTTAAGTAAAATGTTTTATGTCTCTAGTGACAAGAAAGACTAATTTTTCTGCTAAATTGCTTTTACTGGATCAGAAGCAAGAAAAGAAAAATTAACTGAATTTGTCTTTTTCCCTTCTAAATTATTTTTTAACTGCTGGGAAAGGAAAATCACTTCTGTTACAGAAACAAATGGTGAACATCAGCCATGGACTGTAATCCTGGCATCCTCCTATTACAAAATCAGTATAGAATTACAATGCTTTGTATCTAAGGGGTTTTAAAAATGATTTCTTAAAATATTTATAATACATAATTCCAAAATAATAATGGCCTAGAAATTCCACATCCTTTTTACTTGCTGCTCTCTGGAGAGGAACCTGCAAAGGAGTGGAGAAGGAGGACTCCAAAAGAGTATGGACAGACAGGTGGCTGACCATGCAGACATGAAAGGCTGCATGTAGGAATGCTCTGGAATCATTAAACTTGGAGCAAAAAACCCAGGACAGCTAGCAAAATACATGAGCATTAACTTCCTTAAAGCATTAAATCTTCAATACTAACCCTAAAGTCAAAAGAATTACATGGTAGTAAATAATAAACTACATTTGTTAACTTCATGTTACTGTAGCACTAAACTTTTTGTTTTCTAAATAAATCAGCTACTAGAGAAACATTAAATGGATTTTTGCTGATTTCTTTTAATCAGTTATCTGAAAAGTCTCACAGAAATTTACTGAAGCCTCTTTATTTGTAACAATAAAGTTCAAGACTCCTCATCTGTATGTCCAACTAGAATTACTAAAAACCAGCAAAAATGGACCCCAAGATGCTGCACAGAATAGTCAATGAACCAGAAAGGCTTTTGCATTAACAAATTGTTCTTTGTGTATCTAAAGTTCCAGTAGAAATTCCATTCTGCTCTGCAATGAGAGATTATACTTCTCAGTGGGGTTTTTAGTAATAAATTTACGCCTCCTTCTTGATATAAGTGAAAATCAAAAACATTGTATTGCTATTTCAAGAACAAAATCAAGTCAAACTCACTTTACCCAGATGAGAGAGTTGTAAAACTCTGGGTCAACAGATTCTAAATCCTTGAGTCCTACTGCCTTGTTTAGGATCCGTTTATAGAATGGCAGAGAGAAACCAGTGTCAATGAACTTCCCGTGGAACAAAGCCTGCAAAACACAAAACCAGACAAAATAATGCAAAGGATGACTGAATACCTAATATGACAACATTCTGTACTCTGTACCCATGAAATCTGACAGCCAAAGAGTTAAACCCACATGGATATCGTGACTGCTAATATGCTGCATTAGCTTAGTTACATACAAGCACCTGATAAGAATTTCAGCTCAAAAATGAACTGTTTAATTGTCCATTTATAATGGCACAATATTTGTTTATAGGAACATTACAGGAGAGAGTCCCTTTCTGTTCAGAACTTACCATGGCAATGAACCTGCCAATGAATCGGAAGTACTTGAGGTGGTCTGGGTTGATGTAGGAGGCTGGGTTTATCTGTAAGCAGTAATTATCCTTCCCTGCATATTCAAACAGGCAATACATGGGGTTCAAAACCTCGTGTGACAATAGAAAGAACCATTCCCTGAAATCACACAAACAATAAAAACACATTTCAACATAATGACACAGCAGAAATGACTGTAGGTAACTTGTGTTGACTCAGGACCTGTTGGCACAGTCCTTCCCCAGGGAGCAGCCAGCCCACTGACACCCAAGGAAACTACAGCAAACTACAAATTAAAAGGCAAAGCTACAATGACACAACTGGCAGTGGTTTGGATAAAACACATCCTTGTCTAAATGAGCACATTACTGATCTAAACATTCAGGCTTTGGGAAATGCTCATTAGCACATGAACTTCTCGGTTCCATTCCACTGAAGACTTTGGACTTAAACGTAGATTTCTGTTCACTTTTTCAGTCAACTCTACTTTGAGATTAACAGTTATGCCAAAGGCTCATTGTAGTTCAGTGAACTGCATCTCTTTAATCACTGAGATGATTAAAGTCATTCCTAATGCAAACTGAAAATCATTTAATACAGACATGCAAACACAGCTTCCAGAACCGCCTTCCTCAGATGTTCCGAGGAAAGATAAGGAATAAACTTCAGTACTGTTGTGAAAGCACTGCAGTCTGAAATATCTCCTTTGGGGATGCCTTCACACCATCACTTGCAGAACAAGCTGTTATTTGCCATTTCAGTGTAGTTACCTTGCAACACCTCCATAATCTAAACCTTCTTCACCAGGGAAAATAACCCACAAACGTCTCCGGAGATCCTGAGGGCTGAAGCTCATTATCTTAGTAAAAGAAAAACAATCAGTTCTTTTTAAGAAAACAACTACAAGCGCTGGCTAGAATTATTACTATTGGCTAACAATTTAATAATTTGGAAAAATTTTAACTGGGTCTTAGGTCTAGAGACATTAACAAGAATTTTGCAACTAATAATCTAAATAGAATTAACAATTTTTGCTTTAACTACTTATTTCATTACTCACTTCAAGACCCATAACACCCAGACTAAGATCCACTTAATGTACTTTGCCACATTGCCCATGCTAATGTAACACATTGTGAGGAAAAGTGTGCCAAACATAAGCACAACATGAAACCTTCCTGAGAATGGGGAGCTGCTCTGCCCCAGTGCTCCCCTCAAAATAACTTGTTTGAAAGCATTCTGAAGAAAAACTTAAAAAAATAAAACACCTTCTCTGTTAGATGAATCAGTCTAGTCCCAGAACTTCATGATTTAGCACGATCTTTTAATATATCAGCCTAACTATTAAGTTAGTATTTTTCAGTCAGTCTCATTTAAAATAACATTAGCAAGACATTAAAGGATCAAGAATATGTGACAAATTTAAATAACTCCCTTTTTCATGCCCACTATACCATGTTTTAACACAATACCTGCTGAAAGGAGTCCTCAAATAATGTTTTCCTGCTCACTGTGATCTTTATGTGCTGTGGCATTGCCAGTTGCTGAAAGAAAATTTTTTAGAGGTGAAGTGTACAGTCACTTAAAAGTTTCCAATACTGAGTTTGGACTGTTATTTGTAGTATATATTAAAAAGTACAGATGAATTTCATTAATTCACAGAACATAAACCCAGTAATCAGGATATCTGAATTGTAATTTACTCCAAGAACAAACTGCTACCACACAGGTTGCCCAGAGAAGCTGTGGTGTCCCATCCCTGGAAGTGTCCAAGGCCAGGTTGGACGGGCCTTGGAGAAACCCGGGCTAGTGGAAGGTGTCCCTGCCCATGGCAGGGGGTTCAATGAGGTGTGTTTTAAGGTCCCTTTCAGCCCAAACCATTCTGGAATTCTATTAACACAAAATTAGAAAATTTAGGTTCTAGTGCACAGAATCCAAAGTGAGAAATTAGGCTGGTCTCTCCACTATTTTCAAAGGATAATTCACTGACTCTTGAAAGCTGGAATATTTAAACTGACTGGAATATTTAAACCAGGACTGACACACTGGAATTTGGAATTATGTTGGAGCACACTAACATGCCCCACAGTATATTCTTCAATGCTTAGACGTGTCTGTTGTGTGTCAAACGCCCTGCATTTTCTACCAGAAGTATTTCTACAGAAAGGAGATCTTGTATTAACCATAAATTACTGTGCCTCCATATACTCCTGTATTAACAGCAGAAAGAAAACACTATTCAGAAACCCACCACTTCAAAAGCAGTAGTGAAATTGAGCTTTTCCTTTATTCCAAAACATTTTAAAGCCATAGCTTACCTCGCTTTAAAGCTTCCACGAGTTTACACAAGTCCTGTATTTACTCCTTCCTAATTTAACTCATCCTTAAGCTTAAAGGAGTTTGATTATGTGTATTTGCAAGGCATTGAAGCATTTAAAGCACGTAAGCACAACCCAAAAATGCAAGAAATCCCAAGAAATGGATCCATACCTGACACCAGAACCTGAAATAATGGACCTTGGCCTTGAAGTCACGCACATAGGCTATCTGGGGCCCGTTGTCTCTGGAACCAGAAGGAGGGGGGAAATGCATTTCAGAAGTGTTTTTGTAAGCAAAGGAAAAGCCTGCAAATGTATTAGTTATACAGCTGTATGCCTCAGTTGGCTATCTAGTTGGGACATTCTTGGTCACAATTTTTGATTTTGGGGTGTAATTTTCTTGGTTTTAAATTAAAAAAAAATCTTCCTTTGTCAATTGTGAAATGCACACACTGTACGTTTTAAACAATATCTAAATTTTACCTGTAAAAACCTGTAAAAACAATAAGGATGTGATGACATTAAGTTGGGAATTAAATATTGGCTTTAACTTTACTCCTAAAAAAAAAAAAAAATCAAAGAAAGAAAGGGTGGAGTGTACTTTTAATGAGAAAGACTAGTAGGTGTAAGGAAAGGATTTGGTCATCAACAGGACAGATGCAGCTCCTGCATTACCCTCAGATCTCACACACTACTTGTCAAGAAGGATTCTAAGCGTTCAGAACTCTGCCTTCTCCAGGGAGTTATCATCAGTGCATGGAAAAGCCCAGGTAATTAAGAAGCATTGCTACATGTAAAACTTTCTGCCTAGAAATGCAGTAAGAGATAAAAAATAAACCTTTCAAAAATGATGTGTGCTAAACTTCACTTTTGAAAGCTTGGTATAAAGTTAAAACCACTTACAGAGCAGACTTGCCCGTGCGGGGATCTATGTACGTGGTGGTTCTTCGGTTGTGATCCACAAAATAGGGAATTCCATCCACAGTAAATCGCATTTCCCAGCCCTCTGGTAAGGGTTTCTCATTTAACTGACTATGGACACAAGAAAAAACACGGTAACACATCAACTTAAAGTCAGTTGAACAATACCTGAGACAGTAAAAATTCTGGCAGGTCTAGAAAACCTACAGATTGAGAAACTTCCCATTCAATATTTATGCTGCCTTTTTTTACCCTCTTCAATTTGCAGTCAGCTCTCAATTAGACCAAAGTGACTGCTGAAGTAAACATTAGCTCATTTGGTTGCACTACATGAAATAAAGGCAAAAAGAAACTTAAGGGGAAAATGTAAGCCAGGTGTCATTGTTTCCTCCACAAACAACAGAATTTTATCTTCTAACTATTATGTTTTTACTCCAAAAGTGACACTGTTCTAATAAGTGGCTTTTGGTATCTTGTGTATAATGACAGCAGCCAAAAATGTGTTTCAGAATGACAAAATTAAAAGAAAATGTAAATACTGATTGTGCATAATTTTTTGACAACTTCCAACTCAATTTTGGTATAAACAAAATGTATTTGGAAGATCTGAGTAGGGCCCCTGCAAAGTGCTCCACAGTGACTTCCCTCCACAAGCAGGGAACCGTGTAGGTCCATGGTCCTGACTGTGCATCCTAAACATTGGGTTGTTGGGCTGCTTTAAGAACAACAGTGTTCTCCAGACTCAGATGCTGCAGAGGCAACTGGGCAGGAAAAGTTATCCCTGGATACAGCTATTATCCCTCACACATAGTAGGCTATTCCCCTTCCCCTTCTTCTCCTTGAAGGACAGATGGAGTTGCTTCACCAAATGGAATTTTTCAGCTCAAACAGGAGTTAGGATTGAACAGTTCACCCTCAGTTTCCTGCCTCCATTCCTTACCTCAAAGACTCTGAATGGCAGAGCCCAAAATAAACAGAATTCCAGTGCTTTTTCTCTGTGTCTTTTTTTTTTCCCTTAATTTTTTAAAAAGGTGTGAGAAGGGGTGCTGCAGTTTCTTAGGTTTGTCTTCATTCTGTCTCTTACCCAGGTTGGACGGGGCTTGGAGCAACCTGGGCTAGGGGAAGGTGTCCCTGCCTGTGGCAGGGGGTGGAATGAGATGAGCTTTAAGTTCCCTTCCAACCCCAGTTGGTTCTATGATTCTGTGACTGTCTAGGAAACAAGCAAAGTCTTGCTCAGGACTCTCTGCACTATCCCATCACCATACACCAGAAATCTCTCCCTCCTCCAACAACAAAAATGCTGAGACATATGGGATTACTTATGAAAAAGCAAAAGGTCCTTCTGGGGAATGAGCTTATTGCTGTTGATCAAGACTTTCCTGGTAATTGTAGTATTACAAAGTAATACTATGACAGTTTCCATTTTGGTTAATACCTTTTACCTTTCTCATGAGCTGTCTGACATTTCTGTGGCACAGTCCATGCCTCACCTGTGGGCAGCACTTCCCACCTCCCAGTCCCACTACTTTGCTACATTTTCATTCCAGACTTTTACGAAGATCCAACTGATTTCTCACCCCTGACTCCTGGGATCTTCCCACTGAGTGATCCGTGTGTTGTGATTGACAAAATACACTCGGCCATTGCTGTCAGTTCTCTTCTCTGAAAAGATGCAGAGGGAAAAAATGTCAGTACCACTTCATGTATTGCTGAGACTACATCAAATAAATAATAACAATCACCAGGCCCTGCCACAGGTTTCTCTGCACCTCCTCTGATCCAACACCTTTTCACTGTCATTGACCTTATTCCTTATTATGTTATGTATTTTTCAGCTGTATGAAAAGTTAACTGGAAAAAAGGACAAGTGTGAGCTGTTTTGTCCACAGGAAATTCCAGCTGCATCAAATATTGTGATGTTCCTGACAAGCAACACAGACAGCAAACAGAGCAGGGAACAGATGTAGACACGAGTATCGAGACAGTACAAGGGCCTCGTGTCCAAATTAGAGCAGGGAATGAAAAATGGTCAGTGCAGTTTCCAAGAAACCCCGTTTATATTTCCTCTCATATAGATTAAAGTATGCCCATAGTTCAACAAAGCTTAGGAGAAATGCTCCAGTTTGCTCTTCTGTACCATTCTGCAGTTCATGCCATTTTTATATAGTGTTGCATGAGAAACAAGTTATAAAAATGAGAAAAATCTGACTACCACAGGTCAAAAGCTTCAGTTTCCAAGAGAAGTCTGGAAGTAGATACTTGTCCATGGAATTATGCTATAACAGAATTCCACATGATGTGGAAACTCAGTTTTGCCATTGCCTGGACAATGTCAGCCCAAAGACCTTCCTTTGAAGTGCTATATTGGTAATGTACCTCAGCATAAGTGTGGGGAACAACAGTTTTATGGCATGAAATTGCATCAATACCAGGACTAAAAATCCAAATAGTTCTGTTTGAAAGGCAGATGAGCCAAAGACGCAGCTCCAACTCTGCCAAGTAATTACTTGCTTTAAAATTCCACAATTGAGAGCTTTGCTTGTGTATCATAAAACTTGAATTCTTATATCTACTTGACAGTCACGCAAGAAATTAGTTTTACATTTTCATTTTTGGACTATACCTCACCCAAATTTATATTAATTGTAAATTCTCAACCCTGTAAAGTACAAGAACAAATTCATTCCAGGGAGAGGGGCAAGTCAAGAAGTGGTTAGCTGTCATTATAAAAAACATTTTCAGACCAACAAAACTCTCCAAGAATTGGCTTGGAGAGGGAATTTGGCAGTTTGATTTAGAGAGGATTTGGAGCCTCTTTTAGCAGGAACAGGATAGTGGGGGGAGATCCTGCCCAAAAAAAGGCATAAGAGGATGACAGTGTGAAACAAACTATTATGCTCATTACAGGGAGTAAACCAAAATACTTTATAGTTTCTAATCTACTTTGAAATGGCATATCCTTGTCAGGATGTTTTAACAGCACATTTGACTAGATCTAATTTTAAAATATTTTTAATCCAGATTTTAATTTTTAAAACTAGCCTAGAACAGCTGACAAATAATTTGGCAGAAGTATGCTTTAATGTTTAATTACATTGCATTACAAACCACTTTCAAGTCAGCCTTACCCCATCCATGTGGCAGAGGGCCAAGAGGATCAAACTCTTTGTTCTGTGTGGATGAAAAGTCCTGGTTCTGCAAGTCACACAAACAAATGAGGCATTAATGACTAGTCATTTGCTTTCCAGATGTTCTGCCATAGCCATCCTGAACTACTGAATTAAATGCATTTTTGTTAACATTACACATAAGCAAAGATGCCAATAATTTCTTTTTCTCCCCAGAGAAGATCTATTTTACCGACCCTTGGCATGCTTAATTGACTACAGTGCCAAGAAATAATTATTCTTTGTTTGGTGGCCCTGCCTACGCAGGAGGAAATTAGTACAGTAGCACCCAAAACAATCAGAAAGCAAATCACTTCACTCCTGCAGTCAGTACAGATCTCCCTACCACCATTTAGGGGCTCCACTTTATTCTCACACTTACAGCAAATTCACAACCTTCACCACTCCTGATAAACGGGCAGCATGAGTTGCACTGATCTAATGTCTGCTATTCATCAGAGGTAAACAATGGATTTGAAATTCTGGAAGGACTGTTTTCAATTTCCCTGCTTTCCTAACAACATTCACTGTGCATGGCTCATTTTACCCAGAGCAGAAATGTATGGCCTGTGAGCTTGTTTATCTCCCAGGTGTTTGCCCAAGGCAATACAAGAAACCACACAAATAAACCAGCTTCCTACTCAGCTGCAGTTTGATTTGAGCCAAAGGCTTTATCGATACCATACACACATTTTTATCACAGAACACCACTTGTATTCAACTGACAACTAAACCCCACTCCACTGCATGTGCAATGTCACTTAGTTCATGTCACCACAAGGACATGAACCAGGGTTACAGTGAGCCCTCCCTGCCACAGCACACACACAGACACTGTACTGGGATAAAGAACAAACCATAACAAAGTCTGGTGTCTTTGTGGGGGAAGGTCACCCACAAACATGCCCAAACCCCAAAACCACCCTAAGCTTGCTGGTGGTGCCTTACCCCATAGATAAACCTCTGGTTGAACTGCTGCATGGCTCCCTGCAGTTGGCTGCGCTGCAGCTGCCACTGCTCGTAATTGCGGACGGACTCCAGCGTCGGCCGCTGCCACGTCGTCGTCCTGGTGAAGTGGTCGACGTAATAAATCCTGCCCATGTTGTCAACCCGGCGCTCCCAGCTTGGGCAAAAAAAAAAAATCACAAGCCACAGTTGTGAATAGCAGCAGTTTAAGGGCTCAGGGGCACTCTGAGGGCAACAGGCAGGGTGGGGAGGGAATAAAAAGCACGGGCTCAGCAGCAGCTTTTCCCCCTTGGACCCTCTGCTAAAATGATGTAACAGCTGAAGTTGTTTTAGGAGAGTCACTTTTATTTGTTGCACGCTATAGAAAGTCAGACTCATTCCATTTTCTCTACTTTTACGGTTGCTGCAAGTAGCTTTTAAGAGCTGCCCAAACCCCAGCCATACTGTGTTGGTATCACTGCAGTCAGTCATCCCACCCAGCCCATAACACAAGTCTATGGTTTCTCCTAAAGACACAGCAAAACCCCTGGCAGTTTGGGCTGTTCAATGCAAGACTCCCTCACACTCTCATTTGGCAGAAAAGGAAGGTTTTGGCATTGGGTTTGGTGTATTGGTTTGATTTTGTGTTGAGTTTCTTTCTAATTTTCAGTTCATGTGAAATTGGTATTATTTACAAAACTTGAAAGAAAACATAACATTCTGAGTAAGTTTAAGTAATACAGTAGTTGATCCTCTCAAAGAGTTCAAAATATCTTGAAATATGACAAGTGGGCTCCTTTTGTGAGACTGTCTGCCAGTTTTTGTTCTTTAATAACATCCTCTTTCCCATTCCACATTTTTACTTTGTAATACTGTCTGTCTAGTGTGTGAACCACCTGAGGATGAATGAAGTGCAACAGAATAGCTCTTGTGTTTTTCTTATATTTTTTTAAGAAACATAGAAGAACTGTGAACTAAAACAGCCAGTGGGCTGTTCTGCTGCCAGGAACTGGAAAGGCCTAATAACCAAAGCTGGTTTCTATGTGCATAGTAAATGAGCTGCTGGGAACCCTGAGACAAGATCAAAGGCCTGTGAACAGTAATCTCAGGATAAGAGGCAACCAAGAGCATTCCTGCTCAAGATGATAGTTACCTCAATCCCAAAATACTTTTCTGTGGGTTTGGTTCTCTTTTACACTTGGGGGTGTCTACTGTCCTTAACTGAAATCCACTTTTCAGTCAGTAAAGATGCATTTGCTTAATCTTTGACGGGAATTCGGACATTCAGCCCTTCTCCACACCATGTACTCCTCAGAGACAACCTGGAGCCATCATTTGCACTGGGTTCACATTTCTACTTACCAACACACTGTCTAGCTTTAGTAAACTGTCAGGCAATTTGTTCCTGAAACCCCCAGATATATTCCAGATGATCATATGGCTGATCCTGGCTCACCTTGGAGGAAGAGGCTCTGGCCGATCCCACGTTGTTCTTTTTTCAACATGATCTACATAGTAGACTCGACCGTGCTGGTCTACTCTTTGCTCCCAACTGAAAACAGATCAAGTATTTTAATATTCCTCCAGGTCAAACTACTCCAACCATTCCTCTACAGCACAGAGATGAGAAACATCTGTTTTCATAAAATGCTTCTCTCTAAATAAAATGCTTGTAACTAACACCTGGCTCACGAGGTGCACCAGAAGTGGTACAGTGTTCATATTAACAGTGATTCTGTGGCAACTGAAATAAAAAAAAACCCAAACATACTACATGACTTTTTGGGAAACTGAAGCTAAAATTTATGTCTATGTGCATAATTTTAGCAAAGTTTTGTATTCGGTATCAAGTGTATTAATAACCTGTTGAATAGAACCACTTTTAGATCATAATCCCCTTTTAGAGTAGCATTAATTCAATAAATCCTAAAAAATATGCACATTTTGCAGTGATCACATATATGCAGAGTTCACCATAAGGGCACTGCTCACATTTTCTGCCTATGCAGCATTTGGGATAATGACTTACCCCTGTATTTGCATTGCATGTAACATCACAGGGAAAAAAAGAACAGGCTAATTTGCCATTTCTGTTGAAATCAAAATGATAAAGCAACAACTGATGTTTTCAAGACTGCTTTTATACTTCAGTTGTTTTGTGAGGTTATTTAGACCTCTCCTACCTTTTGGTTCAACTGTCTACAAATTAAGGCAGGTATTTCACCAATTCACATCAGGAAGCTTTTGCTTTCCATCACTCAGACTCCAGAAACTTTTACTTTTTTTTTTTTTTTTAAGTTTAGAATCTAAATGAGAGATTTGAGGTAACAGACCAACCACCTGGCCAATTCCCCATGTGCCTGGAACATAACCATGAGGAGCTGCAGTATGAAATCCAAATCTTCAGGAGACACCACAGAGTAGTACTGGAACAGCAGCTTTTCTTCTACTTATCTGCACCAATATTTTCCTGCCTGATCTCATTCTAATTTGAAGACCACAAGGTACCACACCATTTAAAACCTGACATGGGAACATATGATAAGTATCAAAAATATCTGACAGAGTAATTCTTTTCTTGAATGCTTGAAGACCAACCAGACAAAACAGTTATGAAAACCACCAAATGATTTTCAGGGGAGATTCTGTCATGCAGCAAAAGGCAGATGCTATCAATGTTTTGTTACACCTACTGTAAGTAAAATATAGCAAACCCAGAAATGTCAGCACTCACACACACACACACAGAGACAAAAGTCATGAAAGCCATACCCAGGTGGAAGAGGACCTTGGCTGACTGTGGAAAGTGCCTGAGGTGGAGGATTTACTGGCTGGACTTGTCTGGACACCGGGGGAGTGGTGAGGGCAGGAGTGGCAGGAGCTGTGGTCGCAGCTGTTGCCCCCTCAGGGCTCTGCTCTGAAGGTGTGTTGGAGGCTGTTCCTGCCGCTGACCCTGCACCGGCCCCATCGCTCTCCGTGGATGTGGATGAAGGGCCATTTGCACTCGCTGTGATGGCAGAGACACCAGAGAAAGAAAGGAAAAACCTTCTGACTGACGTTTATCACCAATCCAGTGCAGAAGTTGTACATCCCAAAAGCACACCTGCAAGAACTGCTGTTTCAAAGTGCACACAAAGCTACTGCTTGCAGCTCACACAAAATCTAAAGAGCAGTTCTGTCTCACTGTAAAAATGCCAAGAACTGCCACGAATGGCACAATTTTCATATTTCTGGTAGAATAAATCACATTTACCTTGTTGTTTGCATTCTGTAAACATTAAATGATGATAAACAAAAACGTGCTTCCTTGCATCTATGAGTTAATTATTTTCCACTTATTATTTGGAATAGTAATTTAAGGGATGATAAGCATAAAATTTTCAGGAAGAGATTTCATACTGCACAAAAGAAACTATTGCAATGGGAGGAGAACACATACATTCTTTAAATGTTTTCAGTTTTATCTGTATGCCATTTGGTGGGTGAGGTTAGAAGTTTAATACAAGTCAGGCCTTATTAACTAACTGCACTGGATAATCTTTTAAAGGTATTTACTGTATTGCAGATCCTATCCACACCCAGCATATATCAATTGTAATAATTTGACTACTGAAACAGATTGCAGTGTATGGGGGTAAAGGAGTTACCCCAAAAACAACAACTAACTTTTCAGAACTACTGATCTTCCAGTTTTGTAGTTTTTAAATAAACAGTTTAAAAAAAAAATCAGCATGGAAGAGTAATGAATGTTTTAAGTGCTGCTAATTAACAGAATTTAACTAGAATCGTAGAAACAAATAATTAGTATTTCAAAACACAATATTAACAACTTGAGACAGTCCTGTGAGTCCTGCAGTACATTCCCTCTCAGCCTCAGTGGGTGCTTTAGTGCAGTAGTAGAACTCCCCTGTGTTCTCCTGGCCCCAGCTCCACTCTGTGTGGAGATCACTGCAGCCACCACGGAGCAGATGCGGAAGCAAGACGTTTTTAGTATTGGTACCAACAATTAAACATGTACCATATGTGCGAGCTAAAAAATACTCCTTCAGAAGTTACCTGCCAAAGAATTTCCCATCAAAATGCAGTTAAACACGAGGAGCACAAGGAGCTGTGCTCCCCCCAGGGGTGCAGCCCCAGGTACGTACCGGCCACCGACGGGGGTCTGCGGGGCGTGGGGGGCGGGGGTCTGGCAGGCCTGGGAGGTCTGGCAGGTTTGCAGCTTCCATTTGTGAGTAACGGAGAGTCACTGCCGTTAACAGTCTTGTTTTCACTGGAAGCAGCTTCTTCAGAGCTTTCAAGGCCATTTGAGTTAGTCCTTTTGCAAGAAAAGACACAAAGAAGTGTCCTAACAGTGCACAGATGACATCAAACTTTATAAATCACAGACTGGTTTGGGGTGGGAGGGACCTTAAAGCCCATCTCATTCCAACACCCTGCCATGGGCAGGGACACCTTCCACTTGACCAGGCTGCTCCAAGCCCCATCCAGCCTGGCCTTGGACACTTCCAGGGGGGTTGGAAAGACATGTGCAAGACACTAGAATGCAACAGTCACAACTAAGGGAGGTTCTTACATCCACAATAATTTTGAAGACCTCTGCATCTGTAAAAACATCTCCTGATCTCCTGAGGCACATGAAACCTCAACTAACAGAAAGGTTGTAAAACAGAGGTATATACAACATCTGTCACCAAAATCTCAATACACCTGCCTTTGGGTCCAGGCTTTGGCTTTTGCTGCTCAGCTATTTCTGCCCATAAGTTCCACTTGTCTCTAATGAGATTAGAGGCTGGCTCAGACCTGAGAACAGCCTGTGTGCCTGCACTCCATAGGGCTGGCAGACACTCAGAACACAGAGAGTGTTTCAAATTTTTAGAACACTTACTTACACATATACCAAATTTACCCCTGAACTCAATTCTTGAACAGGCTGGAGAATTTAGGACTAAGCATTAAAGTTTTGATCAACAGCTACAAATATAAGCTGATCAACTTTAAAGGAATTAAGAAACTACACAGCAATACTGACCATTCTGTGCTGTTCAGTTATACCTAGCAGAGTATTATCCTGATATATTTGTAGCTCTTTAAGCAGAGTTACAGGTACCTACATACTTATTCTAAAGAATTTTATTTTCAGAATATGCTGAGCAAAATCAACTAAAATTGTACTGGATTTGCAGGTCCAGCACATAGGCCATCAGTAATAAAACCAGAGGTTACAGTTTCAGCCCAGTACCTCTAAAATGACATTCCTTTAAATGTACACAAAATAAAAACCAGTAGGTAAGACTAAGTAATTACAAGTCAAACAGGACCAACAGAACCATGTACATTTGATCTCAGGATCATTGCCAAACATACTTTTGCTCTATACCAGCTGTGGTGCACGTAATTCCTACCACACCAACCCCCAAGTAAATGACTATGAAAGTGGGTACAAATCATTAGTGGTCTCCAGTCTGTAAGGGCTTTAGCCCAGGTTTTCACCAGGTTTCAGCCCTTCACCCTTTTCTTTCACTATATTCCCCTGTAGAAAGTCCCTCTCCCAATCATTTACATGATCCTCACAAGGGACCTTTAATGACCAACCCCCCAGTTGGTACTAAAACCAAATCACTATTATTATTATTATCCTATTACACACTGGGGTATTCTGAAAACCCAAGCACAGAAACATTCTTTGGAGCACGAAAAACAAACAGAACAAAAATAAACTTTCATGGGAAGACTTCAGACAACATAGCCAAGGGTACAGTCTACTAAAAAAACCACTGAAATTTAACTTGGCTACTCCAGGTGTCATCCAGTAATGCTGTGTGTCCTGTACAGATCCTTAAAATACTTGTAGTATTGGGAACTAATTCAAGTAACATGGTGCTGGTCACACACTTATCCTACCAAGTAGCAGGGCTCATAATCCGGTATCGACCTTAAAACACTGTAAGTGCCAGACAGCTTTTGGGATCTTCTTAACAAAGCTAAATATAATTCTGATACCTCCATGCTATAAAGCAAACCTGTGTAAAAATAACCAGTGCCACCAACTTACCAGTGGGTTTTATTTGTTTGGTTTTGGCTTTTTTTTTTTATATATATATATATATTACTTTTTATCTTTTTTGAGAGAAAGATGAACATGAAGGGAAAAAACCAAAAATCAGTCATGTATGAAGGCAAACTGAGGCCAGATGATAGGGTTCACACAGCAAACACTTCAATATATGTGAATACACAACAATATAGTATTTTTGTTTAGGACATGCTCAGATCTTAGCAGATACTGCTGCAGGGCATATTCAGAAATTTTTCACTGTCTCCTTTATAAAACACACAGTTCCTCTTTCAAAACTGTGAACACTAAAAGGCTGAAGAGAAAAAGAGGAATGAAGTCTTACCGTGTATCAGTCCTTACTCTGGAGCTTTCACTCTGTGTAGGACCTTAAATACCGGGAAGAGAAAGACAACAGAAGTATAAGCAACACTTGGAATGGTTTCCAAGGAAAGCAGCACCTTTAATGCTCACACTTCTTTCCAGTGTGGAGGTCAGACACTATGTGCTGCTTATCTACTGGGTTTCAAGCCAGTATGTTTTGCATGTTGCTGTGTGTGAGTACCATTTTTTAAACCAATGCCCCCGTGGGAAACACTTCCATCTTATGGAGGATATACCAGGATATCACTTGACTGTATGAACATTCCTCAGCACACACACAGTTTAATAAAGCTGTCTTTGTAGCAGTACAAAACAATGCACATTCTTTAAGTGGAGCTGGTTTTTCATATCCTCCCCCTTTCAGTGATGACAAACAGAGCAGAAAGGACAAAAACTTCTCAAAAATCTTCTCTTTGGTTGGCTGAGGGCTTTGCTTTCTGGGGCTCTCTAGCCCAAACCCTTCCCCTTCTCAGTAAATTATTTAACATAAAGGCATTGAAGCAGGTATAAAATATGGCTGCACTCCAAAAGAATTACAGCAGCTCAGCCTAGATTTGCAAATGCTTTGCAACTACTTATTCAGCCAGCTTGGAAATATTTGCCTTTTGTGCCAGCATTTGCAAACCTTGAATATGCAGCACAGAACTGCTCACTCATGTAGATGGCACCAATAGTTTATTTCCATAGAATTAAACACGTCATTAACAAAGAAATCAGTTCTCAGCTCTGATGGGAACTATGGGCAGATCTAGGCCAAAGACAAGGATGTAGGCATGGAAAGGCTTAGGATAATGTGCTGTTAGTGGCCTGTGCATGGAAGGGATTTAATCCCAGAAAGAGCAGCTCCATAAACAAGGTATTTGCCTGACGTCCCTTCAGCCTGTACAACGTGTTACATTGCTCCAACATGGAACCTTCTCCTTGTGGGCTCCAGACCCTGATCATCTGGGAACCTTCTGCTGAGCTTCTGCCTTGGTCTGTTGAGCCCAAACCTGCTCAGAGGACTCAATTCCACTACCTGCAGGACTTTTCCCACCTTTTTCCCAGTAGGTAAACTTTGTGCAATGGAAGAAAGCACAGATGAAAATCAAGTCTTGCATAAGAGGCCAATTTGTTATTTCCACTGGGTATTTCTGTCACTGCACCTCAGCCCTGCTCTACCAGCCCCACACATCCCCAGCACTCGGCTTTTATTTACAGAAAAATCCCACACAATCAGATCATGTGGTTGATCTTTTTAACAAAGCAAAGAAAATGGACTAAAAGCTTTAAGAAATAATGATTACAAAGCTAGTGTGTTAATTCAAGTTTCTTATGATACTTAGAGGAAATCTCACAGTTACTTCCTCTAGTACTTGAAAAAAAACAAACAACCCTACAACCCAGAAGCCTAAAACTTGCCAATTAAGTGCCCAGCTGGTTGCTACAGCAGTCAGTCTCCCGTGCTGCCTTCTGGAGAAATAACCTCTTGTCTAGTTCTACCTCACAATGTACAATTATCTCAGAAATGCTTCACTCTCTGTCCTGCACCAGTGGAATTAAAATTCTTTACCTTTTTATTTTCGTGTAATTAGACATTTCACATGTATTCAAGTTTTTCAGTTAAAAAATGTGAAGACACCAACTAAACAGGAAGTGGATCCCTCTCTGCAGCTCTCCACAGGGAACTAAAGTCTATGAATACCTTTATTTAAATAGGCTATTTTAAGAAAAAATTAATATAAGCCCATGTCTCCTAGTGAGCAGAATACTTATTACTATGATGGTGAGATCAAACCAACTTACTTAATATTTTTCTGTTGATGATGTTATTAAAACCCAGGGAAGCTAGGGACTTTCATTAGAGTTTGGGATTGCTAGATAAAAGTTTGCAAAGTCCACAAAATAGAGATGCTGATCTTGTTTTTGTTACAGTAAGGCTGAAGCTCTTCCCTGTGAACTACGACTCCACCTCAAATAAAAATGTGTGAGATTTCTGGTCTCTACAAACAGGAAGTTACAGCAACTGCTGCTGTCATTATCTTTACAACACTGGGTTAAAGCTTCCCAACAAAAAGCTCTGGACAGCAGATGTGTAGGGGCATGTTTGAATTGAAAGGTACTTACTTCTTGAGGTTGAGGCTTCCCCGTTGGTGAGGAGCTCGGGATCCACCTGCATCCCATCGAGGCAGACCGACAGATCCCCCACCACCTCTGCTGGTTCTCTGTCACCAACGAGATGCAACGTCACCACCACCTGCTCAACTGGAACACAGCAGAGAACGAGGGCACTTCATCTTACTACAGCATAAGAAAGGGCTTTTTATCCACAGACCACAGTGGTCAAGGGGGAAAATAACCCAAAACAACCCCCACAGCTACAGCTCTGCCTCTCCATTGTTTTTTGTGTGGTAAAACTGATCATCTTCATGTGCCAGTAGAAAGTTATTATTTCCACAAAAAGGGGCAAACTGGAGCATAAGCCTGTTGCTGCCTAAAGAAAGGACTGTCATTAAAGCAGAGATTGAGCCTCACATTTCTGCAGCAGTTAATGCACCCGTCCTCAATACAGAGTTAGGAAGTGTAACTCACTTTATTCTTGATACAGAACAGATATCAATTCTATCTTCTGACTTAAATGCTTCACCTTTATCTAATGACATTCACATTTAGAGTGTAAAGATTTTCCATCATAGCTCCAGATCAATGGTATATTCAGGGTAAACAACTGGTTTTCAGTGAAACAGAACTGCACATAAACATTCCTGCTGAAAGGGTTTAAAACAAACCCCAGCGAACTCCAGGAGGTGCCTGGGTGTCAGACATCCAAGGGGATTTTCACCCAGGTCCAGCAGGACAGGAGATGCCAGGAGAGCAGCCAGGGTGTGCAGAATCCTGCATTTCTCCTTCAAGCTTCCCAGGATGCACATACTGCCCAAAGTTCTAAGATGTATGAAATAATACAGTATATCCCCATGGCATTATTTAGAACAAAAATACCTTTACACATTTCCTGTCTAGTACCAGGAACATATCAGAGGTCTCATTTTCAAGCTATAGAAAAGGAAAGACTTGTCTTTAATTAGCCTTTCACTCATCTTGCACGCACCAGCAAAGTGAAAAACATCCTGTTTTCAGTGACACCACGCCAGACTGTGTATAACCAAAAAAATGACTGAAAAAGTAGGAGGAAGCTCATGAAATCAACTTATAGCACCCAAAGGGATCCTTAAGGGCCATCTACAGGGCTGCACACAGCATTGCTGCTCATTAACAGACAAATTCTCACAAATTCTGCGGTATTACAGGGTATTGTTAATCCAGTACTTACGTTTCATACTGTTGGATTTCAGTGTCTCATGAATATCCAGAGCAGCACTTCCCAGAAGGACATCAGATTTTAATGTTTGATGGCTCCAGACTCGAAAGTTTAATTTACTTACAGGAGTGACAATTCTGAAAAGAAAAAGTTGAGCACTGTAAGGGCATTTGTTGGTGGGGAAGTGGGTGAACAGAGCCATTTACTTCAGCTGTCACAAAGTTATTTGGAAAACAAAGCAAAAATGGGGGTAACATCAAACCATTTCTATTTATCACATTCTCATGTGCAGTCATGTGTATGTCACATAAATCAAGACTGTTGCAAGGCTGTTCATAGACTGAGTACATTTTATATGACTACTATTTTAGGGGAAATATCTACAGAAAACCTTCCAGCAACTCCCTAGTAATACATAGTAAATTCCATAACAGCAACTTCAAAGCAATTTTTAATACTGATACTCTTTTTCTATAAGGAACATTCTAACATTGATGTATTTTTCAATTATTTTAACTGTGAGAAACAGGTATTACAGATACAGGTTTATTTTCTCATTAATTTCACCTGTACATGGTTGATAAGCCCAGACTTCCCCAGTCCGACCCTCCCTTCAGAAGATCCACCCAACCAACTGCCTCCCAGAAGAGGAACCCACAGTCCATCCCCATTTGAAGAAGCCATTACACTTTTCCTTTTTATCCTGAATCTGAATGTAAGCAGCTGTGCCAAAGAATTTCCTAAAAACAACTTCCTTCACTAAGCTCCAAGCAGCATTAGTGTAATCTTCAGTGAACTTGATATGCCTGGGGTGTCTCTGTTCAGCTCCTGCTCAATGAGAGCAAAACAGACCCATGTATTACTGTATGGACTTGCACAGCAAAGCCACAAACATTTCCATTAGAAAGGAAAGAAAAAAAGCTTTAAAAGCTACAAGAAAGTTCTGCTCAGCTACACTGATATGCATGTAAAAGCACAAACTTTTCTTAATACATTTGTTTTCAATGCAATAGCAGTGACTAAAACTTCAGAGTGATCTGAATTACAATAAATAGGTAGAAAAAGGGTTTTCAATAATCAGGCAGCAATGTCCAAGTGCTTCAAGAAGAATAATCTAGAATTTAAGCATAAGCAAGTCACAGAATCATAGAATGGTTTGGGTTGGAGGGACCTTAAAGCTCATCCAGTGCCACCCCCTGCCATGGGCAGGGACACCTTCCATAGCCCAGGTTGCTCCAAGCCGTGTACAACCTGGCCTTGGACACTTCCAGGGATCCAGAGGCAGCCACAGCTTCTCTGGGCAACCTGTGCCAGGGCCTCCCCACCCTCTCAGGGAAGGATTCCTTCCCAATATCCAATCTAAACCCTCCCTCTTTCAGCTCAAGGCCGTTCCCCCTTGCCCTGTCACTACCTGCCCTTGTGAAAAGTCCCTCTCCAACGTGCAAGCACAAGACTGACCTTTATCCCAGAGTTCCATGTCCCATTCTAAAGGTCAAATTAAATTTTGTAGAACCTGTGTCTCTTTTTTTCCCATGCTTCACACTTCCTATCATCTACAACACAAATACTGAGCCAAGCAAACCTCAACAGACGTGTTCATCTTGAATCTGATGTTAGTTTTGTACTCTGGAAGCACAGATTAACTGGGAATTTTGTATTTATGCTGGAGTTCAGAGGTGCACAAGACAGAGCCAGCTACCTGTGCTATGGCCTGGTACCCACAAGATGGTACACAAAGAACAGCTACACTTTTCAGCCACAGCATTTCTGAAAAACTGTAACCTTAAGGATGACAACAAAAATGTGCACGGGAAAGTCAGTTGAAATATTAAATTACCTTACTGCCCTTACTACTGACAGAATTAGAGCTCCTTTGATATGCCACATACATTAATACAGAATTTATTCCCTCATGAACACTGAGCACAATGCAATAGTTTGTAAATATCCATTCCAGACTCTATTATATTTGCTCCAAAATATCTCCGTGGTATGTAACATTCCACACTTTGCTTAAAATAAAAATACAACCTTCAAGTCCACTGTCAGGTGCATTAATTTAGCTCAAACAAATTGGAAAATGAAACCAAACCTACACTGTAAGATGCTGTTTCCACTTTGGACTGTTTGTATTGTTGCACTTTTCTGTCTTCTTTGACTGTCCATCTACTGAGACTTCCACATAAGGGCTAGGTCCAAACCATTTATTCTTTTCTTTTAGTTTTGCTGAAATCACTGTTAAGAAAGAGAAAAACCAATAATTTATTTTTCAATGGTGTGCTTCAGTATTCAAGTGTCAGGTCATTGAGGCCTGACAGTAACATTCAAGGAAAAGACCACATTAGATGGTTAAAAACGTTCTTGCATTTCAGATCATTTTAATGCTAAAGCTGACACAAATGCCTAAAATATGTAACATCAGATGATAATTAATAATAATCAGTACAAGAACCACAAAAGTGCTCAGGTGTTGCAAGCAGAAAATATCCTCTACAACCTTCTCCTGTCTATCACCAGCCAAGAGAATTCCTAGAGTTTGTTACACTTGCTTGCTAAAAAGCTCAAAACATGATCTGCCTCTTATGAAGGTGGAAAGCTGCCACCACTTCTGATGAAAAGAAAATCATTAAGAAAAACAGATTTATGTGAAGTTTTCTGTATCAAACCAAACTTACAGAAAAGCTGAAGGCATATTTCAGTAACTACCTCCTGTTACAGAAACAACAAACCTGGACAGGCCTTGCAGCCCCAGAGCTTTAATGTGGGGGGTTGGTGGGGGGTTTTGGTTTTTTGTTTGGTGGGTTTGGGGGCTCAGATGTTTTTTTAAGCATTCAACATCGAGTGCAATGCTCCTGTCTTTCCAAACACAGTGGTTATGTTGCCTCTGTTTAAGACATGGGTCTACACCTGACATCTGACTCCCAGGAGTATTCCTGGATTCCTGGGCAACACTAAACTCACAAAAGAGCACTTAAGATACTATCATTTCCATCAGCCAGTGAATTCACTGTTCTAACAAAGAACAACTGGCTCTCCTATGTGTTTGTCACTCACTACCTCCTTAACAAGGATGACTAATTCAGGCCCATCTGGCTAATCTGCCCAGATTCCCTTTATAGTCTATGCTCCTTTAGAGATTTACAGAAGTAGCTTAGTATAAACTGCTCCAAGCTGCTCCCAAGGGAAACTCTTTGTGTATTAGACACCTCACAGACATTAACTCCTTCATTTTCACAAACAGCTCCCCATCCCTTCCCCTCCTGTTTCCAGCACCTCTGCCTCAACACCACCAATTATCTCAAGACCTTCCTTGAGGCAGCAGAAATCAGCAGATTTGTCCCTACTTTGAAGGTTTGCTCTTCCCCAGACACTCTGAAAGTTCATTCAAAACCAAGGAGGGCAGCAGGAGGGGGAGCTGAGGGCAGGGCAGAGGGCAGGGAACACCTGCTTGCACAGGCAGTAGTTGGCTGCAGACTGTGGCTGAACTTCTACAGAAATTCAGAACTGCTCAAATATCTCAGTAGTCTCAATTCCAAACACTGAGGCATTCATTCCACTTCCCTGTCTTTATGTGAGTCCCAGGCCTGCACTGGAGAAAGCCTGAGGCATCAACTACCACTTCAATCCTTGGCTCTCCACCCTTATGTGGAGGATGGACCTCCTTCCAAACCTGCAATTTCTCTCCAACATCAACCTGCAGGGACAGGATTTCTCTGATTTCCACAGGTCTTCCACACTAGGGGTGCCAAGTTTACTCTTGATGCTTCTCAACACAGACCTGCACATCCCCCCAGATCTCCCATTCAGCTTTAATGCTTCAGCTAAATCTGCCAGAGAGCAGAAGTGAGGAACCTTGGTAATTCCATTTCAACAGCTGCTCTGTTGGTGAGGCCCTACAAAATACAAAGCATGTCATGTAAATCCATTCCCAAACAACCCACAGGGGCTCAATTACAGTGATACTCTCACCAACACCTTTCTTAAAGCTCCTTGGCAATGGTGGCCATAAAAACATGTAACAAGGGAGAAGCAATAAGTCAAATTTAATGAACAGCAGTGCAGGTTCACTTAGCTAGAGATGTGAGAAGAGTGTCAGGAGAAAGTGTCAGATTTGATATTCTGCCAGGTTTCAGTAAGTGTAAGCAGTATCATAATGCATTATTCCATTTCCAAGAGGAGTGCTCTGAACCATTTACTAAACAGCATTCAAAAAGAATTATTCCTTCCTTTTTCTCTTTTACACAAAAATGTATCATTTCAAAATGCATTTAAGATAAAATCCTAAATAAAAGAGCTCTATTTCTACCAAGTAATGACAGCATAACACCATCAATTGCATTGTGTGACTTCTCTTGGGCTTTGTACAACTCAAAACTTCCCAAAGTACATCATCATAACCTCTGGTTAATTGTGGGAAAAACACTTCCACATTTCTAACCAGAAAAGATATGTAATTTCAAAAGGCTTACCAGTGATCTGGAGCTGTGATTTCATGGACAACCCACTGGCTGGTCCTGATCTGGACCCACTGCCAGCCATAATATGGGCTGGATCTTGAATCTGAATGGAGAGAGAACATAAACATTTCAATCCTCAGAAAACCAAAGGTCAATCTGGTTTTTCACCTGTAGATACATTATTCTGCAAGCAAAACCTCCACACTTGTCTGTCCAGCTCCTTTCCACTCCCCCAAAGTGCAGAATATGCTTTGCAAAGGGTTCAGTCTCTATTACACAACCTGTAACTGCTCAGGTCCAAGGCAAAAGAGGTCTTTTGATTTTGTCACTTCAATTTGCCAATTAACTGAGTCAATGATGTTCTAATTGCTAAGTTTGCTGTACCTCTCATGTCTGGAACACCTGCCTGTTTTGATGTCGTAACTCCTGGGTAAGTTTATCTTCCCATGACAAGTATTACTTGGTTTTTAAAAAAAAAAAAAACCAAAACCAAAAAACAAACAAACCAACCCACAATCCACAAGTACAGCAAAAAGACTGAAAATAAATTATTAAATTAAAAAGCGAATTTCAAATTTAGAGCTACCTGCTTTTGTAAGTTTTTTGTTTTCCCCTGGTCAGATCAAGTCTACAGATGGGCTGTAACTCTACAAAGCAACTAGAGAAGGAAATACATCACTTTAGAAAGAGGGCAAGACAACCTTCAGTTCCTACAGCTAACACACCCCAACCCTCCCACCTGGGCTGGCCTGATCCTCCCACCCAGGAGGCAGCACATGTCCCTCCTACCCTTTGAACTCAACTCCTACCCTTTGAACTCAACTCAACCCTTTGAAATTGGTTCTGGGGGCAGGGGGAGGAAGTGGACAATATACACTACAGAGCTTCCATATCAACCAACAGAAATGAAGTGGTGTGCTGTTATATTAAAAACAGGCATCCCTTTGGAATATCCAGATATTCCTGTCTCCATTTTCACAACACATTTTCAGCTCAACATCCCCTCCCAGCTGAACTAGATATAAGACTCTACAGCACAAACCAATGGATAACAAATGGACTATTGAAGACTCCAACTTGGCTGCTGGATACAACTCCATCCCTGCCTGTCCTGCCGTGCTCCCTCCTTTGGGACATCTCCACACTGCTCACAACCCACTGCAAAGCATCCCTGCCCCTCTGTGCTGGCTCTCAGGGCATTCTCTGCACACAGCATGACCCCAGCAAGGACAGGAACGTGTTGGCTTCAGCTGCTGCTCTCTCTGCCTCGACTCAGAAGGCTGTGTGTGTGACCTGACCAGCTGATAACACCACCAGCAGTTTATCTCACCTCGGGCACGCCCAGCCTCTCTGGGCCAAGCAAACAAGAATTTGTACCAGGAGACCAGATCTGAATATGGCAGCTTTCTTTTTACAGGCTGCAATTTGAAGCAAAAGTCTGTATGCTGTGACAGTTGCTGTGAAACTGGTAATTCCATGGGTATTTGGAAGTGGTGAAATGGGAAGCTCTTGCATCCTACAATGTGCTGATGCCAGTGTTCCCCACTGCAGAATGTGACACCACCAAAACCAGTGCTAACCATTCACTTCAGTAGTATTTGGTGTTAATAGTTCAATTACTAAATTTCAGATGTGAATCACACAAATCTAAATTGTGTAGAGTGAAAAGGCTTTTTAATAGAAGTATTTAAAAAGTATCCTAAATTTAAAACATTTAGAAGACAATTCTTAACTCTGATCCTGTGACTGGTTCTACCAAACACCCTGGGTATCCTTTACATTTCAGGAGAACAATCAGATCACATCTAGACCAACACTGAAATAGTCTGGAGGAGTTCAGATTTTCAGAAGAGCTGCTATTTCCCACCTGGAGCAATAACACTGCACAGAACACACCTGTGATCACAATAAGCATTTACACCTCACAACAGTCATTCAGAAGCACATGGGAAGGGTAACTTTCATTTCTAACCTGCAAATACACTTGTTAAAATGATTCTGGGAACACTTGAGCATTTTCATTGAGAATGTGCAAAAAAATCCAGCAGCTTAATCCCTTCTGAAATGAGTGTCCTGCAGCCACCTCCTAAGTTAACACGTGTGGATGTACAAGTGAGTGTCAGGAGACACAGCCTTCACCAACGACTGGCTTAAGGAAAATCCCAGGAATCTACTGCCTCCCAATATTTCTAAACCCATGAAACTACATTACACATTGTTTAAGTTCTCTCAGCTGCCAGAAAGTTTCTAATTATTTTTGAACAATAAAACTGAAGAGCCTTAGTTTTTTGGCACGCTTGCTAAAAATCCAGTTAAAGCAAGATCCATTAACCAGCCAGGAAAAAGGAGAGTTCCAGAGGAAGAAGCAGCAATTTACAAAGTGCCCTGCACTTCAACAGCCCTGTTTCTCTTTCCATGTTTTCCAATACCTTGACTCCAATGCCTCTTCTACTCCCCTCAAGTGCCAGCTGAAAAAGGCTCCACAAGTGGAATAGCTGGTTCCATGCCAGGCTTCCAGCCAGGAATAATCACTGAACGCCCACTGCAGTTTTTCTCTCAGCTGGGCACTAATTCCAGTCCCTTCCCTACCATGCCTGGACATACTCTACCCAGAGTTTTCACAACTCACCTCCATCAACGTCTAGCTGGAATGGATCAGTAATTAGGGAAGTCTGCAGTGGGACACACAGGAAAAGAGGAAGAAGAGAGCAGGACTGGCAGGTGGAATTACATACACCTCATTTTCTTGGGAAACAAAGCTACAATAGATTAATTAGCCAAATAAGAATCCATGGCGATTAATGACCTAGACTCCGAAAGAAGCACAAAGAGTGCAAAAGGCAATAACCCCCCAGTCACACACATCCAGCTGATTTCTATAATTAAACTTAAAGTTTAGCATTTTACTTCTCTTTGTTTATATAACAAATACACCAAACGGATTTAACTTGTGTGCAAGAAACTACTGTATTAACAGCTTATTTTTAATGGTAACACAGCAGATGATTTCAACCCAAAACCAGCCTAGGGCTACTTGTAAACTTCAGCACAAAATAAGAAAACATATACTCCTCAATCATTATTAAAGTATTTCCATTTAGTTTTATTACAATACAAACAATATTCAGGATTCTGTGAAAAGCAAATGTCTTTATAAATTCAGTGTAATGCAACAAGTACTTTCACAGATTGAAACTATAATTTCAAACAACTGAGAATGCACATTTAAGTTTTTTTCTGCAGTAGAAAAATACACACGTCTTCGTGGATATTTAGGGATTTGGTGTGGTTTGGGTTTGCTTTGGGTTTTTTTTGTTGTTCTGGTTTTGTTTTAAATTATAGTGAACTCCTACTGTCATTTTTCTCCCAGATGCTGCTACCCACTTCCAAGAAACCCACCAGAATCTGAAATTTAGGAACATGAAAGCTGAAAGGTTTGACAGTTGTGACAGAGCAGGGCAGTGCAATGGATATTCAGAGCATGATCACACAAGTATAATTTTCTCAGAAATGAACCAGACAAATTCTTTGGCATATAAGGAGACACAGTTCAGAAATAATATCTTGTCGTTAAAAATAAACCACTCAAATGGTTGCCCGAACTTCTTCAGTGGCTCCATCCCTACTCCCCAGGAGGTTTAGCTTTATAACATCCTACTCTAACATGTAAATTGTTACATAAATTATGCTCAGCTTCATAACTGCCTCTGCCATTGCTGGTACTCAGGCAGGTTGGAACAAAGTCGATTTAAATAAATCTGCCTCACAGTAGGAAACTCAGACCAAGCATCCTTTTGGCACTGTCTGAATCCCCCCTGGAGCGTTCCCAGCAGCCTCCCCTGGCAGTGGTGATGCTGCTGGGCCAACCTGCTCCAGCTGCTGGGGCATTTTAATCCCAGAAGCTTGGAAGGAGCTTCTTACCCCAAAAAATCAGGGAGTATAAACAGAAGAAAAATGCTATCAAAGGCTTGAGAGATCTTCAGTGTCACACCAATTTATCTGACTTTATTCAGTGATGGAATTCATCTGGTAAAGAACTGACTTAGTGTCACAGGAACTTTGTTTTATATTTATTTAAAAGAATCGAAGACATGTAGGTGAGAATGAAACCCTGTGACTGTGTATTACACCCTCAGCTTTGAAAATATGTTGGCACATGCTCTTTATAATTCAAAAAATACTGAAATAATTGCACATTGTTGGCTGCTGTGAGCCTTATGTTTAGTAATTACTTTTAAGAACAGGCTTAACTGCTCTTTACAGGTGTTCTAATTCAAAGTGCATTTGCTGCTTCAATAATGGAGACAAAAAAATTGCATAATGAAAAGATTTCTTTCACACACATGGTAATTTTATCAATGGTTTTGAAAACCTCACTATGTAACAGGAATAGAGACTTCTGGAAAGAGCATAAAATATACAAAGTTTTGTTTACAAAACTGCATGTAAGAGGTAACACCAACGGGTATGTGATAAATACGTGGACTTTATGTGTGAGAAATTAGAGAAATGCTTTCTCTCCTTCCCCCAAAACACTGAAGCCTTTTTTTAACTGAGGACATGCATATTGTGGAAAAGGGTTTTCTCTTTAATGTTAGCTGTAAATACACAGAGCCCAGGCAGAGACAGCAAGTTTGGCAACTTACTTGCTTAGCAAATTTGCAGTTACTTTAACTGTTCAACTTTCATCTTTAAAGTAAAATGTGGTTTGACAAAGCTGGTTTTAGTGGTTTACACTTTTTTCCCCCCTTAAAATAAGTTTTTAGGCCATGGTCAGGTTTGCCCAAACAAATCAAAAGACAGACAGAAAGGCAGAGACTGCTGAGTAATCAACCAGGGAGAAAAGAATAGACACAGATTATGAGTGTTGAGTACAGGTTGGAAAGGGAAGCAATCCTGAGGTTTGCATCAAGGGATATTTATATAAGGGATGGACCAGAGAGGGTTTAACACAAAGTGCAGCCTGGCTCCTTTGGTGTTGCTGTGAGAGCAGCACTACCCCCATTTACTGGGGAGGCTGGGAAATCCAAGCAGCCTGTGCTGTATCACAACTGCTGACATTGAAAATGCCCATTTTTGAACAAATATGAGCCTGGCTTGGAG